CATACTTTCTAAGAATCGAAAATTAGCATTTACTTTCCATGAAAGACAGCTATGAAAGAACATGATTGAGTCTGCATGAAATAAAATGATGAAAATGGGCATCTGTGGCTAAGAATTTGGGTCATAGGCCCTTTTGAAAAGCACAAGAAAATCTGATTTTGGACTTCTAAATCCTTTGGTCCCTGGACTTTAACTTGCAGGTTTCAATCTTTGAACTTCGTTTCCTACATTTCTGAAACACACTTTACATTCAAAATTGGGCATCCATTCTGTTGGTATTTTACTATCAAATCATTTTATGCATTTTAAGTGTTATCAACCTTCTATTTAAAAGTCTGCTTATCAGAAACTCTGTATATCTTATTATCATGACATAACTTGGAATGGAAAGCAGATAGCGAATTAAATTTTTGCCTTGGATATAGAATAGCATTTATATTGTTCTAATCCAAAGCAGAAATTGCTAGGGTCAACATCTAAAGTTCTTACAGAATACAAAGACAATACTCAAAAGAGGGAAATGTTTCATGAAGAATAGAATAAAATTGTACAGGTAAACCTTCAAAAAATATGCTTGTAGTAAAACAAAAAACTGGGAAAAATTCAAGGGGAGCACATTTAAATACTCTTGGTGTCTGTGACAAAGAGCTGAATGTATTATTGGTCTCTATCCATTCCAATTACCTCTAAGAAGATGGAATTATTTGGTTGGAAATTTTGGAAGGGTACTGAGCCACATTCAGTTAAAGCTTCACCCTTTCACATGAGGATGCCGAGAAACTTCATGTTTTCTTCTTTCCACAAATGTTGATACTGTGAGAAAAATCTGTGCCTTGTTCTTTTTCTCTAGAGTCAACACAGCTTTTTTTTAATTGGAAAGTGGAGAACACAGAGTAGGACAGGTCCATCTCAACTAGTTTACTACACTTCAGGTAGTCACATTTAATTGTGGTACTCAGTATTGACAAATTCACTGCAACAACTCAGCAACATAACCAAAAAAAAAAAAAAATCCCTCAGGAAAGCTATGTTTCTGCCACTGTTTAATTTTTCTTTTTACATAGAACCCCATAAGATGGATGCTGTACTTTAGAGATCTTTTGAAAGACTTTTAATAAGGCTCATATCTCAGTATCAGCACTAATTAGAAAAGGAGCATTTTAAATGTGGAAGTGTGACAAAAGGAAACAAGATGTATAAAGTTATGAAATAGTCCATGGACCCCAATAAAAGATGCAGACACTGGAAGCTATTCCTAGTCATTAACAGGAGAACTTCAGACTATAAAACATTTATTTCTTGTTAAAAAGTTTTTCAAACTTCAAAGTAATTCCAATAAAACAAAAAGTTTTAACAACTTGTGTTTTTAAAAATTTACAAATATCACTACTCCGAGTAAACAACTTATGAAAATCTTAAAAAAAAGCATCACTATTTGATATTAAGATTTATTATAAAGTTACAATTGCCATGAACACTAGAGTGCTAAGAATGTAAAGAAACATGGGTCAATAAAACAAAACAATAGCAATGCACACCCAATTATGGGAAATTCACATATGAATAATATGGCTTTGAAAATCAGAAGCAGAAAGGTAGTCATCAAATAGTACTGGGGTAACTGACTCACCACAAGAAAAAATAAAGGGAAGCCTCTATCTCCTACCATTAACAAAATATAATCTAAATCAATCTATTCAAATGTAAAAAGTAAATACTTGAAAAGTGTTAGGAGAAAAACTGGCAAAGGAAACAGGAAACTGTGGGAATACATAATTGCACTTTGAAAAAACATTCTATGGGAAACTTTTAAAATCTATATACTTTTCAACCACCACTCCCTTTAAAATATGGCAAAAGGGACCTGGCCATGAACTCAATTTGTCTCTTTTCTCTCAATCTCTTACTCTCCCACTCTTTGTTCTCTCCCTAAAAAGCTGGGCGCACCTCTTACTCAAAATCCAATACTTAGCAATAGCCTAGGAAGCTCTATAAACACCCTCACATCCAAGGGAAACACTTTTCTTGCCTATGCCTTTGAAAAATAGGGGTTACAATCATCTCCACTATTTTGTTTAGAAATCATCTATTAAAACATGGGAGCAAGGAAATGGAATCCCAATTAGGAAGGAAACAGGATGTTACAACCAAATATAAAAATGGTGATAGATTATGCAGATTGCTGACAGTTAAGTCTGTTTCAGAACAAAAGTAGCATTTGAGCAATGTATGGACTTATGTAAAACATTAATGAATTGTAAAATCCATCTCTTAGCAGAGCAAGAATGCTATTGGTTCTTCCACAATGAAGTAGTTCTTAAGAGTGTCAACTGTTCATTTTTTCATTTTATGTATCAATTTGTAGCTCTGGAAATATTAGCAAGTTAAGAAAATTAATAGTAACTTGCAACAGCTGCACATGGTGACTGAGGAACATTTCACAGTATCACCTAATGCATAATTTTATATATGTAAGCCTAGATATAACCTTCATGAAGACAACATGGACTTTTTACGATAGCACTTTAAGAAAAGTTGAGTCTCTAGGAAGGGTCCCAAGTGAATAACTGGGAATTAATAACAGATTTAATAACAGAATTAATAACAGATCTTGATAACCATTTGCTGATTGTGGCATCATGTGCATACTCCAGATTCCTGGAAGGATCAAATTAAATTTTGCAGCCCTTACCAGGATATTTTTTCCCAGATAAAAGCACTTTTTGCCAAAACACCTTAGTCTAATTTTGCTGCTAGGACCTAATGAACTAAGATCTACTGTCATATGTAAATGTTAATCTGGAATGTATCCTTGCATTCCATCTTTACATGGAACCAACCAGGACTGAGCACACTTAGACCCCTTATTTGTATAAACAGACCGAAGTAGGAAGCTGGGAAGGAGCTTCCTCTATGTAAGTAGGTCTCTCTTTGTTCCTTTGGAGGGCATTTCATTTTTTAGTCAAAGCTACATCTTCTTGGCCTGTAAACTATTTATTTAAAAAATAATGCCTCCTTTTTTATCTTAAATTCTTTCCTAGTGAGTCTTTGTTGACAGCACTTAGCTGGCAAGTAATCATAAACCAGTAAGTTTGTTATAAAAATATGTAGTAAGATTTAATTATTCAAAAACAATTTCAGTATTGGCATAATTTAAGGTTAATATTCTTTAACATGAGAATTTAATATTCCCCAAATTTTAAATGAAAATATTTTTGTATTTGTTGTTATGGTTGCCTCTAAAATATCCCCAAATTTTCATGTGTGTGGAAGGTGACTGAATCATGGGGTGCTACACTGATTAGCAGACTCATCCATTAAAGAACTCAGTAGGTAAACATGTGGAAAGAAGTGGGGCCCTTCTGGAAGTGAGTTACTGAGGGTGCTATCTAGAAGGGTGCGTTCTTGCCCTCAGGTCCTACCACTGCACTCTGCTTCCTGGCAAGCACTGGATGAGCCCCCTTTCTTCTAGAAGTCTTGTCCTTGCCATCCTGTTTCTGCCTGGGAGTCAGTCAACCACAGACAGAAACTGTGAGCCAAAAATAAACCTGTTCTGTAAATTGCAGGTAGAAGATACCCTGTGTCAGCCATGGGGAAGTGAAACTCCGATTTTAAATTTTTATAAATACACACTCAAATCTGGTATATTCTGAATGTACCTTTTTAAATACTTGGGTTATTAATATCAGTAGAGCACAAAATAAATAAAGCCTATCACCACAGCAAGTTTTCTAATGACAGAAAAAGGAATATATTTATTCATATAGTAATATGTTACTGTTTATCTTTACTATTCAAAAATCACTAATCCATTATCAAATATTCAGCTATTTTGCCAATACTTATTAAAATAATTTTATACATATTTTTGTTTTATTGCAGGGAAAGTATATCTAAGTCTGAGACATTTCACAAACTAAAACATTGATTTAAAACTTTCCTTAAAATATATTGTGTAAGTGTCTATACACATTCCCTGAGGCCAACAGCTGTTAGGGCCGACCTACCCACCGTCATTTTTAGGAAATAATTTCGTGATCAGAAGAACTGTATTTTAGAGAATGGTCTGAAACATGATATATGGCATAAAGCACATTACGCTAACAAGACCTTTTTAATTTCTAGTCTAATTTTGCAGTAAGTCGTCAACGAATGAAACAAAGAATTAGGCTTTATATAGGCGGTTGGTTTTTTAACTGGAAAAGAAAATAAATAATACAGTACGTATTGCCCCCTAAAGGTTGCACAAAAAATACTGGCTGTTCCACAGCCAACACTATCACGACCAGCTACCTATCTGTCTCTCACTCAAACACACACACACACAGAGGCCCAACATGCAAATGAAAAACAAAAGAAATACACTTTCCCTATCATCACCAAGAAACAAATGGTTGGGGCTGGGGATTTAGCTCAGCGGCATAAGCGCCTGCCTTGCAAGCAGGCAGTCGTGAGTTCCATCCCTGGTACCGATAAAAAGGAAAAAGACGAAAGAAAGAAGGAAAGAAGGAAAGAAAGAAAGAAAGAAATGGTTTTGCAAAGTGCACATAACAACATAACCTAGGAAGCCCAGCATGGAACATTAATTGTGGACGGGGTGCATGCCCTCAACTGAACCAAAGCGCCAGCCGCCCTAAGCCCAAGGCTCCCCGTGTCCCAGGTTGTCCAGGATCCGCAATCCCTCCACATGGCCCAGGCCTGACCAGCGGCGGAGCGTCCAGCTCCCCGCTGGTGCCTGCAGCCCTAACACAGCACGCGGGACCCCGGCGGCCCGTGAAGAGCGCCCTGGCTGCCGGAAGGACGAGGTACGCCTGGCTCCGCTATGCCCTTCCCTGCCACCCGCGCCCGCAGCTGACCCTGAGGCGCGAAGCCTGTCCAGCCGCGCCCCGCGGCCGCTCAACCGCCGTCCTCTGGCCGTTATCCCAACGGCGCACCTCAACGGTGGCCAGGCCACCGCCCGCGCGGCCCCAAGGCCCGCATCCAGACTACACTCACTATACCTGCACCCGCGGTGAAGTAAAAGCCCACGCGGACGCCGGCGCTCGGCTCCGCCCGGCAGCCAAAGAAGGTCCCTCCAGAGCAGTCGGGAAGCCACCACCTCCGCCGTCCACTTGGCGTCGAGTCCGCTCCCTCAGATAGCGCCGCGGAGCCTCGGGCATAGGCGGGAAGCACTTGTCCAATCAGTGCCGCGTCCGGTAGCCGGCAGAGCCAATTAGCGCCGGCAGCCAGCCAAGTCCCGCCCCCTCGTGGCCCGCGCCACGCACTGCACAACGCGCACGTCCAGGCTGCGCTCCCGGGTGACGCGCGCTGCGCGGCTGCCCCGCCCCCTCCGCTCCCGGGAGCGCGCGGCGGGGATACTGGCGGCGTAGGGGCGGAAGCACGGGCGCCCGCTGGCCGCATCTGGAGCAAGCTGTGCCGAGCCGCCCGCGGGAAAAGGGACCGACCGGGGACGCGCGCGAGCCGGAAGGGGGCGCAGTGCGGCTGTGCGTGCCAGGCAGCTGGGCGGAATTCTGCGTCCCTCCGCAGTGTAAAACTGAATGCTCCTGGTGAGTCCTGGGGCTGGTCTCCAGGTATCGCGGTGGCCCTGCACGGTTCTGCAAAGCGACACCTCGGTATCTTCCTCCGGTGCCGTCGCGTGGCCGAGCCGCTCCTTGCAGCGCTGTCTCTTGCAGAGCTCAGGTGGCCTGTCTTGCTGTGCATCCCTTCCAGAGCCCGCCCGCCTGTCCTCGAGGGTCTGCATTGGGCACATTTCAAAAAGAGGAATCCCTGTTGCTAGGCAAATGTAAGCTTGCTATGGAAGTCACCAAATGAAAATTTTATAGTTTAGTAACATACTAATAGCCTAGGTAAACGGCAACATTTGTATTAAAAGATTGGATTATATTGGGCTGAATGCTGTAGCTCCTCAGTGGTGCACATGCTTAGCATGGGAGGGTCAATACTTAGGCCCCCTTGACTCTAAAACTGATGTATATTGGATTACAATTTAAATGTGAAAGGTTGCAAAGCACTTAGGAAAATAAAGGGAATAAAACTCTATTTGAAGACCAAACCAGTCAAATCACATGGAATATAAATTCTCAAAAACTTAAAAATATTGTTTAGTTACACACTTCAAAACTTTGTAACTGTCCCATTGAACTTAATTTTAAGGTTTAATGTTTAAATTCAGTTTACAAGCTACATACCCAGTCTAGAGATTTAGATGATTTATATATTTAAATTTTTAAAGTGGTTTAAGCATTTTAACTGTTAATGTATAGTACAACATGTGAGACCACAGTGCTGCAAACTCATAATCTGACAGATTTCTACAATAATCACTTCCATATCTAGCTTCTGCTATTATGTTTAGCATCTTCATGGGGTTGTGAATTTTACTAATATCCTTCAAATAAAAAGTGATTCCTTATTCTTCTTATTTTTCCACTTCTTAGTAGAGATAAAAAATGTTAAACCTCTTAATTATGTAATTGTTTAGAAATCCAGGGATTATTTAGTAAACATCAGTAAACTACAAGACAATGTGCGAGGAAAAAAATTATCCCACTCATTTTAATCTTGTTATTTTTTAAAGTTTCAGATAATAGTGTTTGAAAGAAAGTCTTACCAATAATTATCAGAGTTAGCTTTCAATTGAAATTATTTCTGCAGTACTAAGGATTTAACCAAGGGCCTGGTGCGTTCGAAATCAGTGTTGTACACCCCAGCGCTTTTCAATCAAGTTTGACAGGCACCCCACAGAGAGAGACTAGAGCTTGGCATAGGTCTGAATGCTGAAATTGCCACCTGCTACCTGCGGGTCATAACATGAATTACTTAAATCTCTCTGAGCATCATTCTCTTCAGCTAAGACAATGGAGATATTATCAGAAGGTAGCATATTTTCCACAATTAATTAAAATCAAATACAGTACAGTAAATGATAGTTTCCTTCCTTTCCAGTATACACAAGACTTCCCACTTGGCTCAGTTTCTCAAAGACATACACAATCGGCCTACTGACACTGAGGCACGACCATACAGTTTGTTGTTTTAAGCATGCCCCTACACTTACCAGTGGTCTGAGAAGGTAAGACTTCCGTGTGAAGGGATTTAAACAGTCAAGAAGTTTCTAAAACGCTGTCTTCTGTAATTGGACCACCAAAACAGACTCTGCTGTTAAATAAAGCACACACACATCTGTGCCCATACATTTTAATACTTAGGATTGAGTAAAATTATTTTAAATGACAGACATTAAATATATTTAGGGGAGATAACCCAGTTATTGCACACTCCACTATAAAATTAATTTAAACATTTAAGCAATATAACTATAGAACTTTCAGGTAATGAAAGTTCTTGAGCTGTCTTAAAGCTGCACCGACCAGGCAAGTCTATTTAAGCTTTAAAATTTCAAAGTGTTGGTATTTTTTCAAAGGCACCTTGAGGTTCACTTAATTTTAAAGACATAGCATTTATATTATAGTCCATGGCCAGAACCTTTTTGGCAAGAGACTTTTCGCATAGATCATGAGATTCTTTCCGTGCCATAAAACAATACATTTGGCAGCATGAATGTGTACCTGAATATCTGGACAACAGTCTTGCACGCTGGCTGGGGCCGAAGGCAGAGTTGCCAGGGCCATCACAGGCTTGCTGACCTAATTGGATAGTTTGTGAGCAGCAGGAAATGTAACCAAGTTTCTCTCTCTCTTGCATGTCAATGTGGTGCAGAATCCAAGGAGGCAAGAGCTGTGCACTTTAGGAACAGAATTTTAAATCAAAATTCAGTGTTCATAGATTACAAGGTGTCACAGAAGGCCATTCCCGTTCTTCTAATTTGAAAAACACAAAGGTCACGGTGATCCAAAACAAGCTGGTTAAAAGGCAAAATGCATCTTTTGATACCGATTGGACAATTAACAAGCACTCAAAACCCAACTCACTGGTGATGGGTACCACAAAATCCATCACTCTGACTTCAGTTTTATCATAAACATCACAGCACACCTCGGAGGTCTTGTGCACCTGGGCTGGTTGTTTGTGCCTCAGTTCTAGCACCTGCTGTCAGAGGCCAAGTGGTGGTTTTTAAATTACAGTGATGCACTCTGGGAACAGTGGCTTTGACTCCTTGATGGGAGGTTTTAAAAACATTAACATTTTAAAAGTGAAAAGAAGTCCACAAAATGCTAGGAATGTCCCTATCTGAAGGCACCAAAGAATAAAACTGGCAGGTAGCTGATAAAACCTGACATATATAAATACAATTTAAAATAATCTAGAGGTATAAAATTTGTGATTTTTCCTCGAGTGCTCTGGTTAATGCTGAAAATACCTTATAGTTCCACTTGGTAGCTGGATTTCTCAAAGACACATGCTGGGATCTTCTGAGGAAGAAAAAATAAAAACAATCACCTTCATCATCAAAATGTAACTGCACCAGGAACTGTTGCCAGAAACCCTAGAGCCACCTGAAAATTTAAATAACTGAAGGCAAGCTTCTTAAAATATTTAGGTAGTTGAAAACCTAAACAGAATGGCCTGGTAATGCACAGACACACACTTCTCAAACACATGCAAAAGAAATATATTACATGTGAGGACCAACTGCCCAGAAAGGATTGTCAGACTAGTAGAAAAATGTGAAGTTCTTCCTCCTTCCCAGTTGTTGATGTAGGAGTCACACAGGCCAGCCAGAGCAGCTTCAAAGCCCAGAAATGGCTATGTGATGAGTGATGGGGAATAAATTTCTTGCCTATTAATAGTTTCCACTGTTAGAAGGCTACAGACATTGGCAAGCAGAGGCTGTCTCAGGTTTTCCTCGTTCCAGGGCAGGAATGCCTTCAAGAACTGCAATGCAGGTCGTGCTGCACATTTTGTTTACAATGGTCATGAACATGGGCCACAGGTTTTTCCAAATGCTAAGTAAATCTAGAATATTCCTGAGAAGGCAACCACTATGATGCACGATAATATGCAACAGCTACCTTTACAGAGAGACTGACAAGATGCATGCAAAAGGCTTCCCTAGTAGGAGGTGAGTCTTTTAAAAAACCAAACCAAAACCCAGCCTGAGCCCTCCCGGAAAAGCCAACATCCCCGCACCTCCTTCACCCCAGCACCAGGACCCAACCTTTGGGCCACCGGAGGGCCCTTTCCAAACCAGGTGAGTGAGACACTTCACACAGAAGTCAGGACAGGCCCCTGTCAGCGGTCCTCACAGCAGGTAAGAGGTCAGACAACTCCAGGAAGATGTAGGTGGCAGAACAAGAGCCCAGAGGTGAGCACCCAGCTGGGTCACAACTGCAGGCCGGTGACCCATCCACCACTCAGATGAAGTGGATCCAGCTCTCCTCGCACTCCCCGCGGGGCATGTGCAGCGCGTGGTTGCGATATGTGAGGCTGTAATCACGGCCACCGTTGTTGTCCCAGTACTCAGCTCCAGCCACTCGGTAGCGCAGGGCGAAGTGCACTTGTGAGCCGAGTTCCAGAAGAAAGGGCGGCACCGGGAACCCAAAGGCAAAGACGTCCTCGCTGCCCTCGGCGCCTGCAGGCCCGCGCCACCGGGCCTGCACCTCGTGTGCGCTGCGCCACTCGGTGAAGGTGTAGCGCACGGCCACCTGCTTCTCGAAGGCCACGTTGCGCACCCGCACCGCACCGTTGACGCCCAGGTCTGAGCAGGTGACGCTCTCCAGACACACCAGCTGTCTCTCCAGGCGTTCGCTGAAGTCGGCGGCCTCAACGGGCGGCGGGAAGTCGGGCACCAGGCACTGGAGGGCGAACTCCAAGTCCTGGCTGCTGCAGCACAGGTCCGAGTTGATGGCGAGTCGCGACAGCACGTGCAGCGGCACGGAGGGGTCATCGCCCGCGTTGAACACCTTGACCTGCGCCAGCTCCAGGCCCAGGGCGTCGGCGAAGCGCACGCGAAGCTGCCGGCTGCATCCCGGCCGGCACGGGGCCCCCTGCGCGCCTGCCGCCTTCTGTCGACGCTCGGGGGAGCAGGGCAGAGAGCGCGCCCGGCGCAGGATGATGGGCCTCAGCGGGGGGTCGCAGCCCGAGGCAGTGGGCACGGGAGCCCGGGTGGAGGCCGAGACCGCCGGGGGCCGGCAGGGCCGGGGCTCAGAGGCCACACCGCCGTCCAGGTCCGCGAGGCAACTGAGGCTGCGGAGCGCAGTTTTCCTGGACCCCAGGGCGGGGGGCCGGAGCGCAGAGCCCAGGCTTCCGGACATGGCCCGCCGGCGTGCGAGGCGGGGCTCTCAGCCGAGGGACAGCCTGGGGATCTCGCACCGGCTTCCCTGGCGTCCCGGACTGTGCGCGGGATCTGCAGCCTGCGGGGGATCCCTGGGCCCCGCCGGGCTCCTCCCAGCCCCGCCACCTGGCCCCTAGAGTCCTCCCCTGGGTCCTCGGCTTCTCGCAGCGATGAACCAACTAGTTTCCAGAGAGCAGAGCTTGTTCTAGAGGAGCTGGCCCGGGGCACCCCGGGAGCGCAGGGTGGCGCCTCCTTTTTCGCTCCCTGGAGGGCTTACGGGAAGGTTGTGTTACCTTCGGCCCCTCCCACCCCGCGGTCCTCCGGATTACTTAGGAGGCTGCAACCAGCCGGGGCGCAACTTCCCGGCGCGCCTCCGCCCGTCGCCGCCCCTCGTGACGCCGCCCGCGGGGGCCCCGCCCCTCCCCACGCAGCCGGATCCCAGCGGCGGCCTCCGCGCCCCGCCGCGGCGCGCAGCAGTCGGCCCCGCGCGCGCCCGGAGCTCGCAGGCCGCGGCCTCGCCACAGGTCTGATCGGTCTCTGCCTGCGTCAGCCGGGGCCGTGCGCGCGCGGCTCCCAGATGGTGCCCGCGCAGCCCGAGCTCCCGGGAAATGCATGCTGCGGGTCCCCGGAGCAGGGCGTCTGGGTTGGGGAGAGGGAGGGCAGAGCCCAGTCTCACCCGGAGCTGGTCCCCAGACTCGGTTTGGCGTCCAGCCCCCCAGCGCTGGATCGACTCCGTGCAGCCCAGACCCACGGCCGGAGCGGGGCAGCCTCTCCGCGCAGAGGAGCACAGGCCCATGCGTCCCTATAAGGCCTTGCGGGCCGAGGACCAGCTGGCTCTCTGGGCGGGAGGGGGCGGCAGGGTTCATGCCTGCCCAGGCACCCTCCCTGCGGGAGAGGAAGACTGGGAACCAGAGTTAAGGCCCTGGGAGGGAGCATGTGGGTGCCGGAAGTCAGACTTCCGGGGTTCGGGGATGTTTTTGCAGTCAGAACCTCTTTCTTTTTTTCCGTGCAAGCTGGGAGCACGGGGAGGACTGGGAATTTCTTGCACCCTTAGAAGCCCGCGGGCGTTCACTTCTCCCAGCAACTTCTCAAGAAACCCCAGCCCTGTGTGCCACCTGTCAGGTGGAGAGAAGGGGGCTAGGATGCAGGGGCACTGCGCCGAGAACAGTGTAGTTCAGGCTAGGCCGGACCTTCCCTCCCCAAGGCTTCTTTACTGTCTAGGGGACAAAGCACAAGGAAAACCAGGATAATGAAAAAGGGCTGGTACATCCCCTTTCCTACATCTGCAAGTCAGGTGTGCTGTTTATGGTACAGTTAATTAGCTGTGGGAACCCGTGTGTGACTTCCCTTACCATCCTATGTAAGCAGCTAAGAAGACTTACATGATTACGGTAGGAAAATACAGGAACATTGCAAAACAGACTTCGATAATTCTACTTGTTTTTTAAATTTTACAAGGGGATAGGATGGGAAACAAGTCAGTTTCCAGGGGCACCTTCAACCGCTCTTCATAGCAGTCAGTGGTGTAAATGATCAGAGTTCACAAAGAGATAACAGAATTATGTTGGAATGTGTTATCATGTCTTCCAGTTACATTCAGCCAGCTGGAACGAGGTAACACACCAAAATATTCATTGGTGACACTGAATGCATTAACATGATAGGGAAAGCAGGGCAGCTCAATGGGAGAGTCCCTACTAGAGTTTAAATTCCACGGCAAGAGAAGCTTGTGTATAATCCTGTCCTCTTTCTAAGCACTCCTGCGGTGATGTGTTGAATGAATGAATAAATGAGGGAACATGGTAGCTTTGGAGCCTTAATTTCACAGACTTCCTCATACAATTTTCCCGTATTATTTCCAAGAAGATTGTTGTGTGTGTGTGTACCCGCGCACACGCACGTGTTTTGCAGGAAGAAGAGAAATACCCATTCACACTACAGAGAGTCATGTAGCTAGTAGCCATTGTGAAAGACAGGCAAAAGGACTAAACTAGAAATATAACACAGTACCTCCTATACTGTTACAGTTCAGGGTGCTAGCCACCATATACTCACAACCTCAGTGTCTCTGTTTCATGCTAAAGAAACAAGTGAAAACCATGCCAGTGCTGGTCCTAGTGATCTGCACTTATGATCAATACTTACGGTCAATATCTTATTGCCTCTAGTTCTGGTGGTGCTGAGTACTTTCCAAGAATAAGAGGAGTAAAGAAGTCGCTTTCCTGGCGGTCACATTCCAACAAACGGAGCAAGAATATTTTGAGAAAAGGTGACGTAAACTGACGGCGCGTCTTCCTTGCATTTGTACTTATTTTTTTCTTGTATGTTTTGCATGTGTGTGTTCACAGTATTTACTACTGGATGTCTGTTTTCCAGACAGTTTGTCAAACTCTTGATGATGATCAACCATGTGATTTTTTTCAAGAAAAGGAGTAGGCTGAATGAATCTCATCAGAAAAGCAGGTAAACGGTTTTTACATCATTGCTTTATCTTGCCAAAGGCGTATTACCTCAGTTCTTCAGCTTGAGTATGTGTGATTGAAAAAAAATATATTCAGATAAAAAATAAACAGGTTTTTCACCTAGCATCCTAAATATCTTAAAAGCATTATTTATCTGTAGTTTGCAATGCTCATGATTTGGGGAGCTAGCGGAATCTGCAGTTTTGAGCAGGTCTTTTAATCACCTTTTATATTGGTTTCTTACATAGACATGATGCTGCTAGTTATCTTCTGATTGTACACTGACAGCTAGTTGTAAAGTTTTAACAGTCTTAGTTGTAATTTTTTTTTTTTTTGTCTTTTTGAGACAGGATCTTACTTTGCAGTTGAGGCTGGCCTTGAGCTCACTTTGTAAGCCAAGGCTGGTCTCCAGCCCTCAGTGATCCTCCTGCCTCAGATTCCTGAGTGCTGGGATCACAGGAGTGTACCACCACGCCCAGCTTTGGTTGTAAATTCTTAATGATGGCCGTTCCTTCCTTCACATTCATTTATTCATGCACAGCTGTGGAGCTCCCGTTGTGCTATTGCAGTGGCTTGACATAGTCTGTATTTATTAAGGGGAACACATTTTTAAATAATTGCTTAGTGTGGTTGAAATCACCAGGCGAATGGATGTGAGCTTCCAGTAACCATGCTCACCACACATTTTTTACTTGTAACATCTGACTTCTGTTACAAAGCATGCTGACCTTAGATAAATGGCTTGTTCTCCATCAATCGATTTAAAAACAGCCATCTTCAATTTCTAATCTCATGTGAGATTCTACCTCAGGCTGTGCTACCCCAAAAAGAATATGTTGCTATCCTAGTAGTATACGCAGAATTCACTGATTCTTTGTGTCATTCACAAGACAGCATTAATCCTGTTTTTCATTCATACTGAGTTATAATGGCACCATATGATTTTATGTCTATCCTTTTAAACATTGTTGTCTTGAGTGCATTTCCTAAACACATATTAATAAGCTTTGGGTTTAAGGTGGCAGTCATGTGAGCTATACTTTTACATATTAAGGGTTTGGCTAGCTTGAAATTAGCATCCAGCACTGATTATACAGTGTGAAACTTCCATTTCACATTATATTCCCGGTTAACTCAAAGTAGATAAACAAAAGAAAAAAAAGTCGCATGTTTTTGACCACTGTTAGCCATTATTGGAACAGAGAATTTATATCAAAGTTTTTCCAAATCAATGTTTTTTAGACACACTTGGTCTGAAATTATAAAATATACACTGAAATAGGCTACTGATTTTCCTAAATGCTAATATTCAGTATAAAGTAGGATCTGCTTTTGGCACATGGACTCTGTTTCGCATGGGTAGAATATTATGTTGAAAACATTCTTTCATACCACTGTTTGCCAAATGCATTTGGAGGGTTTTTTTTTTAATGCCCAGTAATAGCTGAAAGTACAACCTTTTGATTTCTCTAATCACAGCCAGATCACACTTTTTTGTCCTAAGAATTGCACTTCTGTTTTTCACAGCAATATGCATGCTGGCCCATCTTGGAATAAAGTACAGCATTCGAAAGCTTCTTCAGGGAAAAGACACAGTAAATCCCAAGTACCTCACCTGTCTCCACGGCTGAGAAGCGGCCTCCTAGGAGTCCCTCAGCCAGCTCCGGACAAACTCGGAGAAGGCTTTCTTCCTGAAGGCAGACCAGGAGGGCATGCACCCATCTCCGAGTGCCAGGGGGCATGCGGGAACAAATTGTTTCTTGACTTTCAGTCAATGAAAATTATTAAGGAAGATGCTGACGAGGACACCGCCAGTGACCTGTCGGATTCGGAAAGGATCCCCATTCCTGCTCCTCCCTTCACACCTCCAGATCTAAATCTTCGGGCGGAAGAAATTGATCCAGTTCACTTTGATCTCCACCCACATCAGGGCCACACAAGGCCTGAACACCGTTACCCCGATTTCCTGCCACCCCCCTTTAGCTCCTGGGATCTCCGGGAGATGGCTGTGCTGCTGAACACAGACTGCAAGACGGAGGCGGTGCCCCGAGCAGGGGGACTCCTGGGGAAGTACGTGGATAGGCTCCTCCAGCTGGAGTGGCTGCAGCTCCAGACCGTGCAATGGGAGAAGTCGAAGGGGTCTAGGGCGAGACCCTCGGGTGCCCAGGGGGCTTCAGGGGCCCTGAAAAGTCCTGGGAGAAGTAAACTCACGGCCAGTGCTCTGTCCAAGCCAGTGCCTCACCTGGAGGGGCCTTCAAAGGCAGGCCCTGCACGAAAGAAAGACTTGTCCCGTGAAGACACGCATCCGTCCTATTACACCTTCGAGACCTCCCTGCGGCCCACGGATGTGCCGGGCAGCACCAGGCTCCGTTCCCTCGAGCAAACCCCTGCAGTGAGGACTGGAGAGAAGAAAAAGAAATCCAGTAAAAGCACCAAACTTCAGCACAGGGATTTGTCCTGCAGCGACAGCAGCCTCAAGCTGGAGGCCAGCGGTAACCTCCGAGTCCCCAAACAGCCAGCAATGGCTCTGGACTCGGTGGACCCCTGTAAGGCTTCCAGAGCACAAGCACATGTGACTGTTAAGAAAAAGGGAACTGCAAACAACTGTGCTCATACGACTATATCTAGTGAGAAGAAACTCAAAACAAACGGAGCAAAGCAAAACACATATAAATTAAAATAATATCTGATGATGACTTGCAAAGACCAGCAGATACCTGAACTGGAGCTGGAACTCTCCAAAAGTTACAATACTGTGAATTTTAAGACATTTTGTAATGAGTGGCATTGAAGTAGTTGTTTGGGTCTTTAGTCCCCTCCCACCCCAGCCCGCAGTGAAGGTGTTTTCAGAGTCCAGAGTTCTCACCATTAGGTGATGGCAGCTTTGTTCAAGGGAAGGTGTTTTTCACTAAGCCTTTTGTTTTGACCTCTTAAGCATTTGAGAGCCTGTGAGGTAAAAATTAACCAAAGTTGCGTGCCATATAAAGGAAAGAAACTCCAGGGGAAGAGCCAGGGAGCCTCCGTAGTGCTAGGCGGTCTGTGTAAAGCTGGTTAGTTTAGTTCCCCGTTTGTAGTCCCACATAGGTGTGTAAAACAGAGCATGCTATTTTAAATTGTGTGAAATCGTGGCATTTGAAATAAGGCCCTTCTGGCCACTGCATCTTCTGCTTCTTCAGCAGATCTCTGTTCATTTTACTCCCAAGGAGAAGTCAGTTCTTCCCAGTATGGTGAATTTCCATTTGGGGCCATCCTGGCTGAGCTGCTTACTCAGTAGAAACAATGGCGTAGAGAATTTAATCTCTCTCTCTGTCTGTCTCTCGGTCTAAAGAGTACTTCAGAGGTGATTGTAGAGTCCACTTGTGGGTTCTTTAAACCGAAGTTAAAATAGTTTGCAGTATGGATGTTGTTATTTGGCAAGGCTAGAATAAAACCTGTGGCACCCGGAAACTTCCAGGATGTAGGATTTCTCTGAAGAACCGTGAGAAAATCACCTGTTAGAAATGGTGACTGAAGTGCCCAGAATGTACTAAAAACAGAACTAGTTGAATGTAGTACTAGGTTAGTTACTGCCTCAGGACCAGATCCTGTCATCCTTGGTCAGAAATACTGATCTGTTTTGGTTTGAAAGGGCAGGATTTTACTATCTTGTGGGGCCCAGGGCCAGGAGAGGACACATTTCCGGCTGGAGGGAAGTGGAGCCTGGGTGAAGTCTGGCTGTGCCGCGAGCATCCTCAGCTTCTCTGTGCTGGCCTGGCTTCCCACAGGCATCTTGTTCCCTGCAGCTGAGCAGCATCCGCTGGTTTCCATAGCTGTGCTGTGAGCTCTCCGTAGACATTTGTATCTTTAAAACCTTTGGTTGACTGCTTTGTGATAGAGCGTTTTCATGACCACAGTTGATCTCTTTAATCCATTACTGTGGTGTTTTTGTTCAGATCCAAGTGTCGGTGTTTTTACTGTTGGTATCAGTGAAAACCTTGGCATGCTGCATTTGAAAGCATACAATGGCTTGTGAACTGTTAGTGCATTCGGCATCAGGACAAGAAGCCTTTGTAACTGAAATAATGCATAGAGATTCAGTAATAAGATACCTTTTTAAAATCAGATTTTAATCATTAAACAGCATACGAAATTTTGTACAGTAGCTTTTTTCTTTTAGGACTTGATTTTCAGGTCTTTGTAGATTTCACTTAACATTCCTTACCTCTCACAGCAGCCTACCAGAGGAAGCATGCTCTTTACACCTTTTAATGTGCACAAAAGATGTGTCTGTAGTAGATACCCCTTCCACAGTCCTCAGATACACTCTGACTTTGTCCTCCTCGGTATACGCGGTATGTTCGGAAAACTCAGCCCCGCTCCTAACTCGCCTTTCTGCGTGGTTCCTGCCTGGTCCCCGCACATCCCATATCTGGCCTGCTCCTTCTAGCATGCATGTCTGTTGCTGTGGCTGGCACTTCTCTTAGGATTCTCAGCTAGATTTTTATGGAGCTCTGAATGAAGCTTTGTGGCTAGCAAATATTTGTAAGCATGATATTACATGCACCTGTGTCTGTGTGCACTGCTTACCGTGGTACTAAAGATCATATGCCGCTGACTGCATCTGTGTGGGTTCTCGGAGGTCTGGAGGGGTGAGGGTGACACTGTCTCTTCCTTACCTTACATGTGTATGAGCTGAAGACTGTGGTGATTGAGAGACTTAGAGACAATGCCTTGCACACTTGTCTCTAGCTCTTTTAACTGAAGCCAGTGGTTTAATCTGGGCATAAGGTCACATATTCAGAGCACGTTAAACGCCTGAAAAAGTGACTTTCCTTGTTTACTTTTTGCCTTAGGTTGGTCATTTATCTTCACCTGTTAATAATGGAACAAATCAGAGGACCTAGTAGAGTTCATTGTTTTAAAGTTATTTCAGAACTAAGCACAATTTTAATCTGTGATCCTTGACAGCACATCCCACTGAGCCAAATGCTGCAGATAACAATCCTGCCTTGAAGCAGGTGGTGTGAGAAAGTCAATCATGAACTCATTTCGTTCAAGTCAGAAATCGCAGAGTCTTGCTAGTCTGGTGACAAGAGTCATTGTATTTCTAAGAAGTGCCTCTCATTTCTGAGGAGTTGTTTACATACACCTTGTGTTTAAACAAGTTAAAACCATCTGAGATACAGTAAAACCCACAAAGAACGTATTTCAGGCTTAGATTTAGTTAAGGGGAAAAGTCTTAGAAAAGTACAAAAATAGACTATACAAACCAGTCGTTTAAATTTAGCCTATTTTCCAAATCTTTAAATAACTAAATGGGCCAAAGGTTTGATTTGAAGGTGGTGGCGTATGACAAACATGGAGATGATATTATTACTACAATAAAGTACAGAAAGGAATTTGTTGCTGGTTGTGTGGTGCACACCTGTCCTCCCAGCACTCAGGAGGCTGAGGCAGGGGGATCCTTGTGAGTTCCAGGCCAGCCTGTGTTAAATAGTGGGCTCAAGGCCAGTCTGAACTACATAGGGAGACCTTGTCTCAAAAAACAAAATGAAACAGAATTTAAAAAGGAAGATGGTTTGCAGTAGTACTATTTTCCAGGAATATATAAGAATCACTAGTAAACAATGATAGAAGTATTGTGTTTCCTTATGTGTCTATGTTCATTTATTTGAATTACATAAAAATGTGAAACTGTGGTACTGTATTTTATGGTAACAGAACCAGTGTTATTTATGTACATGTTCAGGACAACATTTAAAGTAGCCTGAAAATATTCAGCATGCTTATTTGCTATCATCAAGAGTGTATGTTTGCTTCTTTATGAAAAGGGAATTCATGTAATTTTTTGTGAACTTGGATTTTTCATTCCTTGACAGTAATTAAACTGTAGAGAAATAACTGTATTTTTCTGGCACAGTTTTAATTTACTTTTTGTGAGTCCTCTTTCCAAGTTTGTCTTTATTTTCTTCTTGATTATGTCAAAGAACTGCCTAGGATGAAATTTTGTTCCAATGCCTCTGCTCACATTAAGCCGTGTGCATGACCAAGGCGCAGGTTAGCGCTGCTAGATACATCCAGAGAAGCATTGGTGTAAATTGCTTGAATCCTGGTCTCCCAAACGATGTTAAGGAGCAGGTGAATGGGCACAATGCAAGTTCACTAGGCACCAAGTTAAAGGAACATCATCAAACCCTAACTTGCCTGTCCGGAAGTGACTCAGGTTTCTTTCAAGGAAGTCAGCTGGTTATTGGGCCGCATCTTTTGCAAATACTCTGCAAGACTCCTTGCTTCTCTTTTCTAAACTTATCTCTGGTAGTGCCATGAACTGTGGAGTCTACAAAATTGTGGTGTAGTGGTGAGAGGTTTAAAACTAATTTCGTTTTGAGTTTGGAAATGAACCATGCTAGACGTCTTTACAGAAAATGGGAAAATTTTAACTGTTGTTATTTTACCATCCACGAGGTGGCGACAAAAGCTTTTCTTACGTTGTGACTATGACCCAGTGTTTTCAAATCAGATAAAAAGGTTTGCACTGGAATCCAAAGACTGCCTGGCCTCAGACACAAGGAAGATCCTTGACTTTACTCTGCCGTCGGAGTATCCAGTGGCTTGATGTCTGTAGCTGCCGCTAAGGCTCCTCTCCCATTCACTGACCGGCTCTGTATCGTAATGTACTGCCCTGTGTGGAGTATACTGCCCTCGGGAAAGTTACACAAAGCAGGATTTTGTAAGAAGAAATTCCTTGTAGATGCCCAGTGTAACAAAATACGATTTAAATATCCCTGTCCGTGTCAGTTTCACATGTAAGGGATTATGTGCAATAACATTATAAAATATGTAGAATTTAAATATAATGAAAATTGTCCCAGCTTGAGTTGGGGTTTAGATTGCACACATGGGGAACACTGCGGCCCAGAGGACGGGCCTAGGAAGCAGGATCTCCCTGACCTCTGCCCCTTTTCTCTCCAGTTCCAGTTTCTCCCCCCAGGGGGCCACAGAAATTAGAATTCCTCTGTCCCAAGGTATCACAGAAACCAGACCCCTCTCCCTCAGAGCCAGACGTAAAACCCGGAAATGTTACTTCCCTTGCCTTTACATTTTATTTTAAAGAGAGAGAAAAATAATAATAATAAAAAAAAAAGACATGGAATTTCAAAACAAAGTAATAGGAAATTAACAATGGTTAATATATTGTGTATTATTTTCAAAGTAGTTGCTCGGATTACAAGATACGGCTTGCATCAGACAATAGAAGCACAAACCATTTTTTAATGAACTAAAATCATCATCTCAGTTATCATTTATATATATGCATATACATATATATTTTCCCCCTTTTTACCTTTCATCCATCCCAGTTATTCTTTCCTTGCGCAGTTTCTTTCCCCTTCACAATATCTGTTGTAGATTTTGGATCTTATTTACAGTTTCAGTTTCTTACACTTGGAAGACCATACGATGTTTTCCCTGCCTTTTGTAAGAGAGCGGCCAGGGAAGGGCGGGGCAGGACCCATACATCTGATAATAGGGTGCTAAGCTCCTGGTTTGGAATGGATTCTGCCCCAGGCTCAGGGGAGTGGAGGAGCACTGCCGTGAAGGATACCAATAGCGAGCCTTTGGGATGCCCCCGGCCTCAGCTCAGCACATTATTTTGAGCACTCTCATTTCCACTTAGCTGCCCATGCTTCGTCACTCCAAGCATAGGAACAGGTTTCTCTGGGCATCAAAGCCCTTCACTTCTGAAGGCTCTCATGTCACAAACCTTTTACGGAATACATTTGTCATGCTTTTCTCTTGTTAATCTATCTGTTGTCACAAGAATTTTGGCCCTGACCCCCATGGTGGGTGAGGAAGTTATCACACCTTTCTGCCCTGCAGGAGGAAACTAATAATCATGAGTAATTTTAGGTGACATTAGGCTAGCACAATTTCATGCCTTGCTACTCAATTATGAGCCATTCTGCAGACCTCTGAGTCAGTCTGTAATTTCTCAAGATCCTGGGATGTGGAGCCTCCTTTCCTAGCATCTCAGGGGGCAGAACACCCCCTTCTCCTCCACACGCACTGTGGCTACTGAGAAAACCGCTGGCTTCAGCACTGCTGGTGTTCTCCAACCCTAACGGCACTTGGCTGGCTGTCGCTCAGCAGTTAAAGTTCTTAGAACACATAACCACCTGGACCCATTTTCCCTGCATCCATACTGTTAAATTCCAGGTTTGGGACTCTCCTCTGCCATGGTGGTAATTTTCCCCCTCCCCACCATCCTGGCCAGTATAGAAGGTCCACGCTGCCTGTGGCCAGGGCCCCCCCACTGCCTTCTTCCCTGCCTCAATAAAGCCAGAAGACAAAAGACAAAGACTTCACTTGTTTCTGGAGTGCTTTCAGGTTTCCAAATATAATGAAATGTTTCTTATTTATGTCAGAATAAAATGGCCCAGCAAGGTTAGCTGAAGATGCTCTGATTTTAGACAGAAGTGTGTCTTAATCTTAGGTGCTCGGGGTGGGGAAGTCAGCTAAGCAGCCTGTTAGATCTCTCTCCTTTCTTCAGCCTTCTCATTTACTGGAGAGACTTAAAAACTTATGCACATAAATGACTGCAGAGAAAGCTTCAGTTAGTTATAGATGAATAGCTGAAGAGCGAGCTCAGCTATCGATATTATCAGCCTGCAAAGATACTGGGAAACAATGGGGAAGACTCGGGTCTGTTGTATTTGGCAGTTTTATTGCTTTGTTTTTCTCTAATTGATCATCTACAACCATTAGTTGAAAATCAGGGGATGAGATTAAAATCTCTCAAAGGACTTTTTCTGGCCAGCTCTTGGGGCTGACTCAGAACACTAACCATAGGAAACCACAATTCCTGATCAGTCTGTGTGACTACTAACACAATTACAACAAGACAAAAACATTTCCTAGCCTTTGAAAATAAACCAGGACATATAAATGTTAAATTTTCTAATGTGAAACCTAATGAACTTCAGCAAGACAGTGGGGTAAACTGTATACTGGGGTGCAATCACATGGTTCATTCCTTTCTCCCTCTCCATTTCCATGCTGAGGGTTGAACCCCAGGCCTTCACACTGAACGACATCCCCTGGCTCCCTCTCCTTTTTGGTTTTTATTTGGGACATGGTCTCCCTAAGTCGCTACATTGCCTGAGCTGGGTTCAGACGTGTGATCCGCCAGCCTCAGCCTTTAGGGGTGCTGGATAACAGACTGGGGAACATGCGTGTTGCTAAGCTCATTCCTTAGCCACAATTTTCTTGATGTTCTCATGTGGCTTCTTAAGGTGGAAAGAAAGAAGACACCCTTCCCCTACGGGGCCAAGGTGGGTGAGCTGGGTCTAGGGACTGGGCCACCGGAAGTCTTCCTCCCCCACACTTGATATCGGCAGGCAGAGGTGGGAGAGGGCGGACCGGGGCTGAGATGTAGCCTGGAGGGCCAGATCAGCTCTCATATATTTGGGAGTCCTGAGACCTCCCAAGCACTGCAGCTCAGTGTGGGGCAGTCAGTGCTTCTAGAGTCTCAAGTAAAGATCCTTGTCACCAAGTCCTGGGCAAGGACGAACCTTCCATGGAGCATTCTTTTCCCTGAAATGACAGCAAATGACCATGCTGAAGCTGTCTTGACCAACAACCCTGAAAATAACACTCAGAATCACTCTGAGCACTGGCATTTGTGGAACTGTATTTACGTGGGCACTTGGAGACAAGGCCAGTGTTCTCTGCAAAGCACTCCTGATGAGTTCACTATCACAGAGCAAAGTGAGGAGCGCTCCAGAAGGTCAGCACCTGGGCTCTGAGACTGCAGGGCTGAGTCTGGCTGCTTTGCTCTAGTTCCTGCCTTTCTTTGCATCTTCCACTAAAGGGGAAAATCACATTTCTCAACATGCAGGGAGCTGCTAGCTGCCACCGTGTGGCCATAAGGTATACTGTACTGTACTGTATTTCCAAGGACAGAAAGAAACACCGGCCTATTGTCACTGGCAGGCCAGATGCTTGCGACAGACACCTCCTAATTCAGACTCACTCAGACGTGCAGCTGGAAGCCAGCAGCTGAATTCCAGGACCACAATCCAATGGAAAAGGATTGCCTGATGGATGATTGACCTTTGCCTCATTATTTTTAAAAGCCTGAAAATACAAAAATAATTTGCTTCTCAAAATATATTAAAATGGAAAAGGAGATCCTCTTTCAGCTTGGCACAGATGTGACAGTAGATTCCTGTGCTAACATTCACTAACTCTTCCACGTACAGATACCTTTGTGAGTGTGAGGAATTTGTTGCCGTTCTCCTCCAACATTTTAATCCCCTGGATTAATGTAACACAGGGGTCCCCCACCTGTACTTCTCCAACATTCAAAGGGCCTCAGTTCACCTGAATTACAAATCCCAAATTAGCGAGTCTGACTTACATTTTCGATAGTCTGACCTTGTGCAAACAACCCTGCACTCTGAAATCCAGCACAAAGTTGTAAATTTGATCACTGCCGTTCTGGTTCTCTTTAGGCACAGGAAATATCGAGAGACCTCACGATCACATTTATGACTCTTTCCAACAGTCAACTGTTAATCTGAATTAAAATAATAAATTATACAATTATATATGCAGCAGCAGCTCAAAGAGCTCAGCATGTACAGTAAGCCGAGCAAGTTCCCTTCCGTTTCATCTGCTCAAACATTAGCAATATTTTAAATGAGAGTGTACAGGAATCAGGGCACACCGGGGCAAGCCACATCCATGCATCTCCACTTATGGCTCACATCTTGCTCATTTTAACCTTGAGCAATGATAAAACAGAATGGTGACTGTCCCTTTCCCCAGAACCTGACATCCAGGGCTTTCCCACCATCTCCCCTGTCTCGTTCTAAGCCCCAGAATGGCAGAGAGCTAAACACAAAAGAGGTTCCAGAAGACGAAGTCTGAACTCCAAGGCCCAGACATATTTGGAATGAAGATTCTTTTTTAAAATGCCTTACAAAGTAAAAACTTCAGTCATATATTTTTCTTCCTCACCCATCTCCTGATCCTAATTTCTCAGTCATTTTTCAGTTTTTAATGATGAGAGGAAATGGCTATTAAAATATTCTGCTATAGAAAGAGATTGCTAGGCATTCTACTTGGAAAATAAAAACCAGCCTAGAAACAAAGAAACAAAACTCTCGTTTTCCCGCAGGAGCTGAGCTACTGTCCTCTGAGGTCAGCGCCAGCCAGGGCTCTGCATCCATGCATGACCATGGCATTTGCTTTCCTACCTGCACGGAAGGTGCGGTTACACCTTACACCTCACACTGCCACTCACTGAGAAATCCAAGAAGTTCAGAGCAGGGAGGAGCAAGCTGGGACTGTGTGTCCAGGCCTGCGTGCCCCGAGGGCAGTGGAGAAGATGCCCCTATCTGGGAAGCGAGTTCCTGGTTCTGGGTAAGGTCACAGGCTGGGTACATCTTGTGCAGCCCTACACAGCCATGGGCTCCAGGGGCTGCACCTCACTGCCGCTTCTTTCCCTGCTGCTGCTGCTGCTGCTGCAGCAGCTGCTCCAGGTGAGCTGTGACAGGTACCCAGGACTCAGGAGCAGGAACCAAAGACCCAGTGCAAGGTGGCTTTGGACAGGCTAAAGGACGACTGTAAAAACTGCATGGGGCCAGACTGAGAACAGCAAGAAGCATGAATATGCAGCTCGAGCGAGGGACTGGCCATCTCTAGTGTGGCCTAGACAGTGGGAGCCTGAGAATTTATATGGAGCTGGGATTGAGGGTCCCAGTCTGCTTGGGGGAGCAGCGAGTACAAGCTGAGGAATTTGCTTGACAACATATATATAAAGCATGCACAATTTTAATTTAGATTGCATCAATACACATGAGTTTCTAATACTTCCATCCATACTTTAAATAACATTAAAAAGGTCTCAATGGTTCATGTCAAAGACAAATTGAACAACCATTGGGATGGGAGAGTAAATCTACCCACTATCACCACCGATTACCACTGTGAGCATGAAGAAAAGAACAGTGAAATCAGGGGGGAAAGTATGGGCTTGTTCTGTGTACACTGGCTATGTTAATTACTCTTCTCTTGCTGCTCAGATAAAAAGACAAAATACCCAACATCCAACGTTAAAGGGGGAAAGGATTTTTTAGCTTTCAGCTTATGGAGGTTTTAGTTCATAATGGCTGGTTCCAAGGCACATGGCAGCAGGGCAACCCTTCATGGTGGCAGAAAACAAGCCTCTTTTTCTCCCTTATAATGTCCTGTCCTGCAGTGGGTATAGCACTCATACCCCCAGTCCCAGCGCTAGACAGTGAACCAGTCACAAACCCTAGGTTCTGCTGCCTCTGCAAAGCCTGCCCCCATGACCTCATGAGGTTTTGGGGGGACTCCAGACACAAGCCATAACAGGGAGAAAGTCAGTGTTGTGTATGCTTGTTGATTATGACTTGCTTAATTAGCTTTCTGGAAGTAGGGAGAGAGAAACATTCCTTCCTTTCCATATGTGCCACGAGTGGGGGAAAGTACAGTGATTGGAGGTAAAAGACTGTGGTCTGTGCGTTGAGTTGCTTTGTAAATTAACCCAGGCTTGTCCATTTCAGGGCGAGCACCTGACTCATCTGACTTTGGTCCTTACCTTGGTTCAAGACCAACTCAGCTAAGGAGCTTTGAGAGATCTCACAGGCTTGGGTTGAACTGAACCACTTGTCAGGGCCCTTTACTTGGTGAATCCTCACTTTCTTCATCGGAAAATGAAGCTAATTAGTGTACTTAGCAGACTTGGCGATTTTAAGAGTAAATGAGAAAATGTGTGAAGGGCTTGGAACAGTAATCACTCAGTCAATGGACGGTTTGGTCTGTCTCTCTTTTTTTTTTTCAAATCCCAGCAGCAATGGCGGGTACCTTCATTCAGTGGCCGTGCTACAGGGACTTGTACACCTCCCTTGCCCAATGACTTTGTTAGGCACTGGATATAAAACACATAAAATACAAAAAAGCCCTGTCTTGGTTTGAAAGTCTACTGGAGCACTGTTTTGGAAAGTAGATGCCTTATTTGATGCCTGCAGATTAAAAGAGTTTTCTTGATCACATTTTGCAATGTCAAGAGCTATGAGTGTTTTGAATGAGTTGGTGCATTAATTTTATCTCCAATACTTTGTGGAACCCCGTTTTATTAGACTGTGTTAGCATGGATTTGACTATATTGCAAGCCAAATCCTATTTCCAGCTTTCTCTCACTCCTGCTCCTGTCCTAGTCTCAGGAGGAAACAGAGCTGTATTTTCCCCTCCTGTTGTATTAGGACGGTGCCTGCACAGGTTAATTTACCTCTAGACAGGGTTGAGCGAGCTGGGCATGACTCTGCTGTTGGCCGTATTTGAGCAGATTCACAGGGACTCCTGGGAATCAGGACAAAAGAAGGAAATGGGATTCAATAGGTAGCAAAAGTTTTTAGCAATCAGAGTGCGGGACCCTTATGGGCAAAGAGCCACACACCCACCAAGTGCTCAATTATTTACCACACTGGCTGTGAGTATTCTATCTCTTTATACACCTTTACTTTTCTCTCCAAATTGCCTTAGAACCATCTTTAGCATCTGTGGCAGCTACCAACTCCCCTTTCCTGATCCTTGTGCTTGAAAACTGGGAACCATTCCGATGGAGAGCTAGCTGTTATGTTGATGATGTTTTCCTCTAAAATCCCGAACCCTTGTTTTGTCGTCTTGACCTGAAGCCAAGTGACAGTCAGGACTGTGCTCTCCAAGCTTTCCTCTTCCTCCCACATTCACTGACACACGATGACCATCCACGGAAGGCAGGTCCTCCTCCCCTCCTTGGTCATTTCCAGTGCTGAGTGCCCGTGACTCAGCAGGGCTCAAGGCCAGAGGGGCGGGAGGCTTTGAAAGAATGAACTGGGTAATAAGGAAAGACTGCTGTTTTTATTGTTGTGAGTGATGTTGTTTTTTAACCTGAGAAACTGAGTCATCTTTTAAAAACTTGCTAGCATTTAAACTCTGATTAATTCAGTTGGCCCCTGATTTAGGAATATCAGAATTGGGTGTTCGTAGGAAGTAGGGGTAGGGTGGTCAGCCTAGGGGTAGATGACTGGGTGGGCCAGCAGGGGACAGACTAGGCTGCACTGTGTCCTAAGAGCATGGCGGGGAAGTGGGGGGCACTGTGAGGCTTTATGCTGAGATCTGAGGACAGCTCCACCTTTCACACGACCGCCCAAGCTTCAGCGTAGAGAATGTGGCAGCATTCAGCATGTCGGTGTCCTCGCATCACCGAAATCAATTAGAATGCTAGCTGGCTTAAGATCAGATAACTACAGGCTGCTAGATCCAGAGCCCAGAAGTTGGAGCTCATGGCTCTCCCCCTCTGAGGCAGGAAGAACCTTCCTTACCTCCGCCTCACCCCTGGGGCTTGCTGAGCGGGCTCAGTGTCTCCTGGCTTCCTCTGCACCACTGCAGTCTCATCCCTGCCTGTCCCGTGGCCTCATCCTTCCTATCCGCTATCTCTGTTTTGAAGGCGAGGAGCACCGGGGTCCAGCGTGACTTGCAGGGAGCTTGATTTTAAGTCTACAGATACTTTGTTTCCTAATAGAATCACGTCCCAGGCGCTGTAGATGGGAGCTCTGACATGTTTCAGGGACACAGTTATGGTGGTGGACACCGAGGAGAGCAGGCAGTGTGAGGGAATTTAGTGGAGAGAACCTGAACCTAGGGGTGAGTGGGGCGAGGAGTTCCGGCTTGAGCAGGTGGATGTCTTCTGTTGGCTTGAGGGAGCCCAAGGAAGGGGGAGTGTTGTGAGAAAACAGCCCATCAGTCTTGCATGTGCTGAATTTGTTACCTGCAGGTTATAAAAATAGAAATAAATGTTGACTAGAAACTTGCATAGGACAAGTAACAAATACTTAGCTCTTAGTGGCCTGAATCTATGTTAACTGATACCTAAAGACATAAAGCTTGCACATATTTACGGGGTTCTATGTGACACTCCATCCAAGTATACACTGTGTAATGTATAAATCAGGATGGACATATCTGTCTCCTCTGATATTTATCTTTTTTTTTAATGTTGAGAACATTCACGATTCTTTCTTCTGGTTTTTAAAAGTTATCCTGAGCACTGTGCGAGTACTGGATATGTCAGGAAGGGATAAAAATTTCGCCTCTGGGATTGGAGCAGTTGTAAGGATTAAGCATGAATGTATACACTGGTGTGTGTGCATGGCACATGGGTATATGTTCGTGTGTGTATATCTGTGTGTGTGTACACAAATGAGGAAATTCAGGCTCAGATGGCTGACTGATCTATTTGATATCGCACAGCTAACAAGGAATAGCATATGGCTTAAACTGGGCCGTCAGAGTCCATGAGTCCACCTGCCTCAGTGCCCTCCACGTGATCTTCATTGTGGTGGATGTGGTGGGAGCCACTGGTCACATGTGACCATTTACATTTAAACTGGTTAAAATTAAACGAAATTTAAAACTCAGCCCCATATCAGCATAAGCCACTCTTCAGACACTCAGGGATATCTGAGGGGCCAGAGGCCACTGCCATGCTGGACAGCATGGGTTAGGACAGTGTCCTCTGCCCAGACTGGACTGGGCTTCCCCGACTGGGGCTCAGAAGCCAAGAATGGGACAGAACCTCTGTGGGATCTTTTACAGGAATTCAAATACTGCCTTCTACCACCCCAAATGATGCTTCAGTGAAAGTTTTCATTTAAAAATTAAACATTCTCAAAAGATTCTGGAAGAAAATTGATCTTCTGTAGTCTTCTTGGTTCTTTGGTAATTCATTAGACACAAAGCCTTCATCCACTCAGGTGATGTTTTCCTGCATCACTCCACAGCCTGGCCAGCCCACAAGACACTGGTCACGTGGCTCAGGGGCAGCCCCATCTGTGCACTGACATGTAGGGTAGACTGTTCGGTGACGGGCACGTCTGCCACACGCTGGTAAAATAGCTCGGTGGAGGCCACCACTGGGGGAAAGTGCCCCTCCTGCTGCAGACACATTATGCAAACCCTCTGAGCACCGGCCTCCTTGGACAAACCGCCCAAATTGGCAGGGATGGGAGACATAATAAGAGCACTTACAGTCATTTCAGCGAATGTGACCGTTCCCAGCCTCCCGAGGCACCAGATGCTGGGACGTGAAGTTGATTTCTAAGGCTGCATAAAGAGAGGGGAACTGCAACACTGGCTGCTGGTGAAATTTCAGGCATGTCGGTGGCAAAGCGCAAAATTCTTCATTTCAAAAATCTCTTTTTGAACTCTCCACTTGGTTCCTCCCTGGCCATCCACGGCAGCATTTATGTGCTATATGACAAATTTACAGTAGCTTTATAGTCTTTAAAAATACCTTGTCTGGGTGAAACTAAAGACCAGACTGGACGTGAAATCTCAATTTAATCCTTGTTAATGGCACATAAATCCTTGTTAAACACGTAAGTACACGTGTTTTAGAAATGGAATTAATGTCTTTGTTTGTAAGAACGACATTTTTCTTCCTCGTTCCCCTGGTGAAGCCCTTTATTCAGAACTACCAACATTAACTTTTTAAAAAATTCACCCATTTTCTGAATACATTGGTTCTTGAGATTTTGGAACTCAAAGAATTAGAACACCTCTGCTTAGGTAAATAGGTAGAAACAGTCTATAGCAGGAAAGAAGCATTAGTATTCCCTTCACGTTAGCAGGACAGCCTGGTTAGCCCCAACCGTCATCAGAGTGGCTGACCTCAGGGAGCTAACTCACAAGGAATATTTCTTCGTTTTCTAAGAAACCACTTTATACAGCTGGTCTTTTGTTTTATGCGGTGCTCTTGAATAAAGACAGATCCGCAAGGATGTGAAGCAACCAGGACAGAGAATTATTTGGCAGGATCTAGGGGGAGGGTCACCCCATTCCTGCTGGTTGAGGTACACATCGTAGATGCTCCTGTGGGTTATAGCAACCAATACCACATTCGAAATTAAAACTGGGAAATTATAAACACCTTCCTCAGTTCACTCAAGATAATAATCAACTCATGTAATACATGTTAATATAAATAATGGATTTTTTAAGAATCACATTTTTCAAATTCCAGGGGCTGGGGATTTAGCTCAGCGGCATAAGCACCTGCCTTGCAAGCAGGCAGTCGTGAGTTCGATCCCTGGTACTGATAAAAAGGAAAAAGCCAAAAAAAAAAAAATCATCCCATGTGAAATGAGTGGCAGCTTTTGTACTTTTGCACATCTTTGGAATGTCTGGCTAGAGGGAAAAGGGTGGCCTCCTGTCTGCATTTGCATTCACTGGGCTGTGAATGCTGTTTGGCTGAAGCCTGGGGAGATACACATGGAATCCAGGGGGAAACATTTTAATCCCATTGAACAGATTGCTGTGGCCATTCTTCTTTGATATTATACCAAATTTGACGTGTGGTGATTTCTTACCACTTACTACAAACGTGGAATCTGAAAGCATTTTAGTGAAATTTCCTTCCTGTTATAGTGAAGTCCAGGGGTCTCTTTTGAGCCTTGGATGACTGACTTGGATGATAACTGTGGAACTTGTGCTGATCAGGAGCCCTGCATGGCTACTGAGGTTTGCTCCCAGGAGACTGTTGTGTTGGGAGTGTGGTCCCCAGGGTTGGTGGTGGGAGACAGCATGGGGCATTTACGAGGTGGGCCACCTGGCAGCTCCTGGAAGGAGATTAAGGTTGTTCAGTGGAATCTCTTGAGATTCCCCGGAGAAGATTATTATGAAATTCTGAGCCTAGCTCCACACAACTCCCATTTCCTGTTGTGGTGGTGAGGTAACTGATCCTTTCCACGCAGTTCCTCTACTGATCATCTGTCATGACCCAGTGGGGCTAAGTGGGTCCTCACTAGAGTTTGGCCAGTCCTGGCTCTATGACTTTGAACCTCCCAAGCCTCACTCTCTTCATAAGTAGCTTGCCTCAGGTATTGCATTATGACAATGTCAAACTAACTAAATGTTGACATATTTCTGCCTATAAAACAACAACAACAAAGAATCATATCTATTAATGTCTCCACTGAATCTGCCAGGGAAAATCTAATTATTGGGAAGCTGTCAGGCTTCTGGTGGTAGGCACACATTTTCAAAAATTCTGACTTTTGCTTGAAAGCTTAAGCTTCGTCATTGAGAATAGACACAGCTCATTGCTTTTCTGGAAGCTGCGGGCACACTTTGTACCTCGCCAAGGGACTGTGCATCAAGAGCCCCCTTCTGAGCCTCACAGTCTGTCAGGAATTCTTTCAAGTGGAAGGGTGTTCCCTGAAAAGAACGGCTTGTTCGGCTAGCAACTGAGATAATCACATAGTACTTTCCTCCAAGACCAGCATCCTCCTTGGATGTGCAGCAAAAGTGTTCAGTACACACTTTTATCTGATCACTACTTCATAATCTCACACAGGCTTGCAATAATTAATTAGAGTCAGCAGTTACTTCATCCTCTACTAATTTTCTTCTCATTTCTTTCCATTGTTTTCCCCTTGTAAATGTATGGTGGTGAAGTATGTAACGGCCACTGGGGGAGTTTGGTATCTTGGCCTTCTTTGATGCTGAGCCCTAGCAGTCTCACCCACCATTATCTTAACTATCTGTTATGGTGTATATCTAGATGTCCCCCTCCATCCTCATGCACTCATACGTGAGGCTCTGGGGAGGTAACTGTGTTGTGTGTATGTGAAACTAGATTAGTCCTCTGATTGGTTTAGCATAATTCTGGGTAAGGACCATGGAACTGCTGAAGAGGGAAGACACCTGGGTGTGGGTGGCACCAAACCAATAGTCTGGTAACCTGGATAGAATAGAAAGACAAAGAAGAGGGAGAATTGCTTGTCCCTGCCTACCATGCCATGGACTGTTTCTCCTCTGCAGTGCCTCTCTGCCATGTCAGCTTACCTGGGAACCAGTTGACTGTGGATTGAAACTTCTACAAACTGTGAGCTAAAATAAACTTCTCCTACTTTAACTTATGGGTGCCCAGCATTTTGTTCAAACAATGGAAAAGTAATTCAGACACTGTCAGTGCAAGCATGACAGAAGGAACTAATCAAGTAATGACTCAGTGTTATTATAAGGTTTGACCTTGCAGACACTGATAGGATTGTAGTGATTCCCAAGTTAACCATGCTTTGCAAACTGATGCTTTGCAGAAATTTCCCATGCCCATGGGCGTTTATTACCAGGCATTTTTTGGTAGTTATGAAAAACTGGAACCAACCTAAATAATCAGCAGTGGGAGAATGAATAAATAAATTTCTGCTTATTTATACTAAATATATGTACTAAATACTATATACAGTATTTATTTATACTATATACCAGGGACAATTAATGAGCTAGAACATACAGACTAACACCAACTCATACAGACTAAAAAAATCTTGGGCTAAAATGTTATGGGTTGATGCTTACACTGAACAACTGTTTAAGAGCCCAAAGAATTAAAAAAGACAAAATACCAGAGACCGAGTAACTCATAGAAAACAGATTTTATTTCTGATACTTTGGAAGTGGAGAAGTCCAAGGCTGAGAGGTTGGTATCCAGCAAGGGCTTGCTTGTTGCAGCTTCCTGTGGCAGCAGACAGAAAAGCAAGCAATCAGAGGAATACAAGAGGGGCCAAGCTCTCTTCCATAACACACCTGCTCCTGGGAGGATGACATGAGTCAGTCCGTGACAGCTGAGCCTGGAGGGCCCTGTCACCTGACAAAGGTCCTGCCACCTCTGCGGGAGTAAGTCTTGAACATGTGGACTTACATGCATTCATTACATTAGAAAAAACACTCTGACCACAGCAACGCAGACGGACACCCCCACTCCAAGGTTCTAACGTCGCCCTGCCATGCCACCTATGACTTAGGATAAGTACTCCTTCTGAGGAAGGAAGCAGGATATGAGGTGAGGGCGGAGAGCCCAGGAAGCTTCAGTTTTACCTGTAAGAGTTGATGTCTCAGCACCCTGAGGGACGTGTGGGAAAATGTGCAGGGCTGATGAACGGGACAAGGAGTGCCATGAGATCACTCCCTCTTGCTGCTTACGGCATTGCATTAGCCAAAAATTATTACAAGGGCCAAATACTACAAAAGCGTTTTATTGAAAACGTTTCATTTCTAAAGACAGACTTTCCAATTTTACTGAGCTGGTTAGACTCAGTGCTCAACTGAATACTCAATTTTACGCAATCTAAGCATTTTGGTAACATTTTATTTTGATATAAGAAACTTGTAAATTTCAAGAAAAATATAAAGAACTCTAGAATATTTTATAAAGTTTCCTCAGTTATTTTTTCCCATTTTTTAAATCTTACCTATTGTTTATGTATACTTTATCCTCCTGGCTCTCTCTCTCTGTCTCTATCTCTGTCTCTGTCTCCGTCTCTCTCTCTCTCTCTCTCTCTCTCTCTCTCTCTCAAGCACACTCACTTGTAGTTGCTGTTGGTTTTGACATACATTGCAGGATTTGTTTTTTTTTATTTCTATGGTCTCACTAGTATGTTACATTTTGGGAGGAAGAAAGATTGTTGAGAAATAAATTATAAATAATCTCAATATAAAGCACTATGTAAATAACAGTTGCCAAATTCTATTATTTTATTGAATATTGTGAGTAATATCTAAATATAAAAGGGGAAAACTTAACAAAAATACCCATTTAAATGCTATCACTAACTGAAGTGTTATTTTATATGTGCACATATAAATACATTTCTGTTCATCTTTTTTTTTCTGATTTGTTTGTTTGGTTTTGGTACTGGGGATCAAACTCATGACCTTGTGCTTACCAGGAAAGTGCTTAAGCCACTGTTCTCTAGCCCTGTTCATCTTGAATAGACAATTTGATTTTGCATTTTGCTAATTCCTCAGTATTATGCTAGGGTTTTAAATACCCTTACCATTGACAACAACACATCAGAACTTTTTGGTTAGTTTTCATAGTTAGAAGAGTGGAAATCACAAAGTGATACAGTGAACTCCACTCAGAAGTTCTCTTTGGTTATTTTTAATTCTAGCTATATGAATGTCAGGCTGTTTCTGCTGGATTCTGCTAAGTATGTTTCCCACTAATTAATGCCATTTTTATTTTGAAGGTCACTATCATTAACAGCTTCCAAGAATAAAAAGATAATTTCACTAGGCAAATAGAGTTGGAATCTAGTAGTTGGTTGTTTAATAATAAGGCCAGTACCTACGCTTTACGTGGGAGACTCGATTACAATTTTGAGTTCTTTGATGTCCTAGTGTCTTAGTTACTTTTTACTCGTTACTGAGCCAAAACATCTGAAGCCCAAAGTTGGGAAAGGAAAGGTTTATTTCTTACAGTTTTTGGAGGTTTCAATCCATACTCAGTTGGCTCCAAGGCAGGGTGGCATGGCAGGGCTGCAGTTCATGGCGGCTGCAAACTACAAGCAGGAAAACTGGCAAGAGAGCAAGACACACCTTCTTCCTGCCATTACATCACATCCTGGCTCCACCCCTATGTGGGTGGAGCACTGACACCATCAATCCAAGCACTAGACAGTGAACCAATCACAGATGCACAATGCAAATGCATGAGGCCTGGGGCCACCGACGTAAACCATGTCACCTGGCAATGTTTGGTTTGCAAAAAACCAGATGAAACCTGTCAGAGTTTCAAGGTTCTCCCAGAGAGTTTCAGATGATGCTTTTATGTCTTCCTGGAATATGAGCAACAAGGGAGCATCACAGTCAACCACACAGCACCAGCCTGGAGCTGACCCGCATCGCTTTCTTCTGTATGAGATTACAACACATTGTACTTAGCATCCTCCAGCCAAGATGCATGGTTCTGCATCCACCACTGCTGTGAAGATTTCATACCTTCGAACCTCCTTATGACTATTTAGTGTGGTTCTTTCCATCATTTCACTTTATAATTAACTCATTTAAAAAACTTACTTTTGTGCATAAAAATGAACATGGCTAAGAACTAACTCTACTTATAGTAAGTAGACAATAGCTATAAAAAAACTTGTGTAATAAAAAGCAATCCAGAGTACTATCCATATTCTCTCAACAGACGGGTATCTGAGCCTAACATCTGAGTGTGAGTCTCCCCCCCCCCTTTTTCCTCTCTCATCTCTCTTTCTCTGCAAAATGGGAAGTTAGGAAATGAAGCAGCATTAAGATCCTGTCAGCTATGAATAGAAACTTTGCTATCAATGCTTAATGATTTCAGGAAGATTGAGAGAAAAAAGGAAAAGGAATACTTTCCTCAATAGCTCTTTGCAAGGCCACCGCTGAACACCACTGGACAGTGTGCAATGACTTGTAACGCTGTCTGCACGGCCTTATAGAATCATGGGCTAGCCCATGGCTTACAGCTTAGAAATGACTGCAGTTGTCAGACACAGATACTTTTTTTTATCTGTACCGGGGATCAAACTCACGACCGCCTGCTTGCAAGGCAGGTGCTTATGCCCCTGAGCTAAATCCCCAGCCCCGACAACAGATACTTCTGATTTCCTAGCTCAGGTGGCTGCTGGGATGAAACAGAGCATGTCTATCAGGAAGTAGGAGTATCCTATATTCAGCTGGCAGCTTTTCAGCCTTCCCCATCATGGTTGCTGTGGTTTCCAGAAAGAGAACCACAAGACTCTATGGAAATTCAAGAGAAGATGGCTTATTATCACCCTGGAGCTGGAGGAGGAGGACCCAGGTGCTTTCCCCAAACTTGTTGCTGAGGTAAAGATCTGCTCTTGGGGAAAGCTTTCCCCTGTCACGCGGCATCCTCTCTGACTGGCACGCCCCCTTGGGTGGTAGGGCTAGGTCTAGAAAGGATGTGAGCTGGTGAGGCCAGGCAGTGACATGAGTAGAAAGGACACTGGCCTGGGACTCAGGATGCTGGGTCCTGGACATCCTTGCTTCCTCTCACCGAGCATGTAACTCTGCATGTGTAATAATACATGTGCGAGTCGCTGGTTAATCCCAGCCTGTAAGCCCATCCTATTTGCCCATGTAATGACAGCTTTTTAATTTTTTCAATGCTAAAAATGCTGAGATTATATTAAAATGTCTGCAATTCTAACGACTTCTCACAAATTAGAAGTTCTGACCATGCGAACCTCACATTTGCACAAGACAATTAGATGAGGCTTGAGTCACCCAGAATGCCAAGGTCTCCACCACTCCTTACTATACCTCCCTTTGGGGAGCTTGTGAGCCACTGCTACCAGCACTGAGCAAGTCCCATGATGACACGGACACCAGAATGTCCAGCCTTGGCCCTGGTGTTCATTGCTACTACCTTTGTGGTATGAGTGGGCCTTGATTGAATTTTCCTATAGCTGGGACATTCTGTGATGCTTAGAAAAAATTAAAAATATTTCCTATTTTTGAAACTAGTACATGCCTGCTGCAAATAAGCAAATGTAAGTATTACAGGAAGGTTTCAGGGCTCAGTGGTTAGGAGTGTATACCCCCAAGATTTAGGGGGACGGAGTGGGTTCCTGTTCACCCTGTGCTGTGTCCTTGGTGTGTCAGATATTCTCTGAGGGTCTGCATGTGCACCGAGGTGGTGAGGACAGTGCTGATATTCTACAGTTGCTTTAAAAAATTAGGCAAGGTAATCAAGTGAGGCACGCCGAAAGCCAGCTCATTCATGCCCTCTCTAAACATTAACTACATGACCACTGCCTCTCTTTCCCTCAAGGGGTAGCCTGGTGTACATCTTCTGGATATTTCTCTACAAATACAGGGATGTGAATCTGTGTTAAAGGGCCAAGATCACACCACGCACACTGTTCTGCAGTTTGCCTCTCTTGTTGATCATATGCTCTGCTGGTCTCACCTAGGAATTGTACGTACAACCTTGAAGGATGCAGAGTATCCCTTTCTGTAGGCCAGGAATAGTATTATTTGCATTTTTTCATGTTGATGGACATTCCTTCTATTTCAGTTTTTCACTACTACAGCCCAGACTGCAACCAGCAACTTCGTTACCACATCTTTGCATAGCTGTTTATTTCTCTAGTGTAAATCCTGAAGTGTGCACTCGCTGGCTATGATTTCTTAAAGTTGTCTTTGACTTTTAGTTTGACTGCTTGGGAATCATGGTGGTTTATCTTCATCTTCCTATTTCTTTTTCTCTGTCCAACTATTCAATAACTTATCTGACAGGGTGTCATTAATGCATTTAATCAGTGGACCTGATGTAGATGAATATCCAATAGAGATTGGTTTATTTTTCTGTAGAAGATCATGAGAATGGAAAAAATATATGTCCACTACCCTGCTGATTGAGAAACAGCATCATCTTTTAAGGTATCCAAAATTTAATGTATTCTAAGTTTGGATTTATTGGAAAGCCTTTGAAGAACTATTGTATTCGGTAAGCATTATTTAAGTTGCCCGTGTGTTAGGTCCTGGGAGACTGAAATACACTGTGACAAGCTTTAGAAGTGTGCAGCAGACCCAGGAAATTTACAACGCTGCTCTTGGGGTTTTTAATGATTTCTGCAATCTACATGAGCTGCTATAGAGCTTCCCTCTAATGACCAGTATTTCCAAATGATCAGCTATCTGCAAGCCTTCGGAGGATAGAGTCACACAGTGCCTACAGCATGGGCTGATTTAGTTTCTGATGAGAGACACTGGAAATGTGGGGACACACTATGAGCAGATGTAGGGGTCGCTCAGTAACCAATGGAGAACATGTACACACCTGTCGACACTGTCTTATTGTAGGTCCTGGTATTCTGTCTGATTGCTCCGATAATACGCTCTTCTGGGAATCTGAAATTCAGGTGCTAAACAAGCAAAGAAACCTCTCACAGAAAGCATTCTAAGCTACAAGGTGGCATATCACTTTACCTACCCGATGATATGTTTGTAGGTCATCAGTGATTGCTGTGAGGTCTGTGGTTTGGAGCTGTGGGAAATGGGCTTGGTTCTCAGGCCTGCTTGGGTGTATGTTAATGCCTTCCAAGGAGAAGATGTTGCTTTAACATCCAAGAAAAGCAATTTATGAAGCTTTCCTCCAGTGGCCTTGAAGTATTTATATACGCAAAGAAATATATAACCTGAACTCACCGATGGGCTCTGAGTCTTTAATTTTTGAACAGGCCCAGTTCCTCCTAAAACTCCAAAGACCCACAAAGATGCCTCTTTGGGTTTTCCCTATGCACGTAAGCTCTTGCTTCCCTTCTCTGTCGAGTTGGAGGTGTTAAGAAGAGGGAATATGTAGTAGCCATTTGGGGGCCCTAAGACAGTGCTGCTTAATCTTTGATGAGCAAACAGGCTTTCCTGGGATCTTGGTAAAACGAAGTCTGCGTCAGGAGGTCTGGACCAAGCCCGAGGTCCTGCATTTCTCACCAGCTCCTGGGTGATGTGGTGTGACCTGCACACTGAGTAGGGAGGAGCTGGACAGAAGCAACAGCATGAACCGTGCAAGGCCGCAACCAGGTCCCCAACTTGGCTGTGGTGGTCGCTGCCAGTTTGCTTTTAACATTTTTCATGGGGTGTTAAGAACTGGCATTCACAAACTTCCTACGGGTAGCTAGGAGCTGCCAACGCCTGAAGACTAGAAACTTATGATAGAGGTGAACAAGCTGGTCACTTCACAACCAGATCATTTTCACACAAAGGAAGTGAACTGCGTTCTAGGAGCTTGTGATGTTGAGATTTCCAGGCTCTGCGCTTGGATCTTTCCGGTGAGGCCCCGTCCATGTTCTGTCCCCTGCATCACTGATCACCATTGTCCTTTTATGTGGATTTGTGTGCTCATCTGATACCCAAATGCCTCATTTAACTATAAACTTCCATGGTGGAAATTCTGACCTTGACTCCGCCTCACCGTCTGTCCTGGTACCTGTGGTTATATTCTCCTCATGTGCTCTTTACTTGAAAGGCGTGCGTCTGTGTTTGATCTCTTGCTGACAGTCACCCTCAGAGCCCTGCCTTGTCCATGGCCGTTCTGCCACGGTCAAAGATAGGGCTGCAGAAATAGTCAGGGGTCCATCAGTGATGTCGGATGTGTGAGTGAGTGAACGAGCCTGGTGAGATGGATCTCTGCCTCTCAGGGTGTTACAGATTAAATCATAACTGCCGGAAAGGTGTGTTCAAGCCCTGATCCACGCCAGCTGGGACTCTATCCTTTTACTAGGAAGTAGGGTCTTTGTGGATGTGATCAAATTAGGATGAGGTCATCCTGGATTAGAGTTGGCCAACACCCTTACAAGAAGGCAATCTGGCCTGCTGTGTGATCTCAGCACTTGGAGCACAGCAGGAAGATTAAAATTTCAAATGTAGCCTAGAAACTTAGCAACTTAGTGAAACTCTACCTCAAAATGAAAAATAAAAAGGGCTGGGAATGTACTCAGTGCAAAGGCCCTGCATTCATTATGCACTACTGAAAAAAAAAAAAAAAAAAAAAAAGATGAAGGAGGCCATTTGGACTTAGAGACAGGCACAGCGACGAGTGCCCCGTGCAGGTGGCGACAGAGATCAGAATGCTGCATTTACACCACGGAGTAGCAATGCCAGCTGCAGCCACCAGAGTCCAGGAGAGAGACCAGCACAGATTCCAGAAGGGACCGGTCCTTCCCACGCCTGGGCTTCCTTTCCACCCTCTGGAACTGTATTAACAAATTTCTGTGGTAAGCACAGGAAAGGGTTACACCCAGGTTAGGATCACAGGAGATGCCTGAGGAGGAAGTAGGGTTACCAGCCACGAGACATGGCATAAGCAAAGTGTCACACAAGCACGACACGAGTGGAGCATCCTAGCTTAACCATCTGCTCCTCTAGACGAAGGCTTGTTACTGGTTTTGGCAGACCGTGAAGACAAGAGGCTATTAAAAATCAGCTCAACCCGGCAGGTTGCACAGAGACATTCGGGCAGCACACTGAGTGCGCTACAGTCCTGGCGGGGTCTCCAAAGCCAGCTGAAACTGTAAAAATTTGGGTCTGGGAGGTGGCAGGGGAAGGCTAGCTTCTTAATTCTATAAAACTATAAGAAAGTAGTAATACATCTTGAAAATTGCTGTAAGATTTAAGGTGGAGTTGGGAAGAGAAATGTTCTTTTTCTTGGTAGGAATCTCACCTATGTATTAAATATGCTCAGTTTCATAGGATACAAACACATCCCAGAAATCCATTTCTATATCCTTCCGAATAATTATTTATTGATCTTCATCCCACACCGTCATCTTTGCTTACTTCTCTCTGACGCATATCAGTGATTTTGTACCTTGCATATGGCATTTAAGATGTTTACGTATGTTCATTTGTGCGTGAGACCATCTTGTGCATGTAATTTCAAATGGCCATGTGGCGATCCATCATGTTAATGCACCGTGCTTTGTTTATCCAAGGGTGTAAATCTTACAGCTGTAACGAAAGGCTGAAAAGTCTTTCCAAGTGCAGCAAGCATCTGTGATATTTCCTTGCTCCGCTGTGACTTCGGAGTCTCTGGAAATTCCTAGCATCTTGCCAAAGAATAAACAACACTCATGCTTCTCAGACGTCTTATGGAACTAGCAGTCTCAGATGAAGCTTTTAGGATAATAAGTGGAATATAAAATAATAAACATGAAGCAAACGTGGTTCCTGTTTTAAGTGGGAAGATTGCAGTTGGCCCAGTTTGAGAGCCAGGAGTCAGGGTGATTAAGGGAGCAAAGAGCTGCCAGCAGAGCCATGAATTATGGAGGAGAATGCAGCAGTGGTGTGGGAGAGAGCCAATTTGCTTGCGAAAAATTTAAAAATGTATGGTGGAGTCCCTGAAGCGGTCCAGCTCGGGAGCAGAAGCCCTGCGGCGCTCTTCAGCCTCACCAGGCAGCAGGAGAGCGGGCTGGGAGCAGACTGGGCTCCACCTGGGGAAGCCACCATTCGGGAAGCCCTGGAGAGGGGGGAGGACGGTGATGCTGTGTGCTGGGCCCCGGGTATCTGGAGTCCCCCGCCCCGCCTTCCCACAGCTGAATTTGAATTCCTTCTCCTGCAGAGCAGAATCAGAGTCCTGTCCTCTGGCTCCCCAGGGTTTCTGCTGGTTGTGCAGAGTTGATCCCCAAAGGACCCTGTTAGGCAACCATGCTTCTCTTGTAGTAAATCCGTGTTTCCCGGCACCTCAACAGAGAGTGGGGATCAGGAGACTCTTGAGAATCAGTGGTCCCATGTGGAGCCCTCCCCTGCTTGGACAGCACTCTGTTCATGTACTTTCCTACTGCCCAGTGGGGGCACTGGAGCCGCTAACACAGTGCTGGCCCCTTGCCCCATCCTTGAGCCTTGTGGAGGTAACAATTACTGTTTATACTGAAGTTATGCAGTAGCAGGGGCCAGTCAGAGGAGACTTACTTTCAGAAATTATACACATAGTGCATACTAAAATTGTAATTGTAAACCAGGTGTGGTGGCGCACGCCTGTAATCCCACAACTCAGGAGGCTGAGGCAGGAGGATCTTGAGAGTTCAAGACCAACCTGGGCTGCAAAAGTGAGCTCAAGGCCAGCCTGAACTACAAAGTGAGACCCTGTCTCAAAAGGATAAAAAAAAATTGTAATTGTATATCAACTTATATCTAAAATTATTATATATGCCCTCCTTTAATTTTACAAGTAAGGGATAGCTTTTTTAAGTTAATGGACTTTAATTTTTAAAACAGTTTCACATATACAGAAAAAAAATAGAGTTTTCACCCCCTCCCGAGGGTCCTCTCCTATAAACACCTAGCAGCAAACCACTCATTTGGTGTAACTGACCTGGCAGTGTCTTACATTGCTATTCCACAGCCCATGGGTCATGCCAGGGTCCACCCTGGCTCTTGCGTGTTCTGTTATCTTGAATAAACGCGTGGTGGCGGTATCCTCATCACTGTGTTCTCGGGATAGTTTTCCTGTTGTGAAGTCCTCCGTGCTCTGCACATCCATCCCTCCCTCGCTCAGCCCCTGGGAGCCACTGCTAGTTTTTTCTCTTCAGAGTTTTACCTTTTCCAGAATGTGGTAAAGTTGGAATCGCACAACATGCACCCTTTTGAGACTGGCTTCTTCCACTTAGCAGCATCCACTGAGGGTTCCTCTGTCTTTTTGCACTCAGTAAATACTCGATTGCATCGACGAGGCGAATGCTTACATTTTAAAGCATTTACCGAAGTGAAAGCCAGTGCTGCTAACCCTGGAAACACTCTCCCTCGCTTCAGACACACTCAGCTCATTTGTTCACTTCCTGCAGCAATCCTGGAAGTCCTTTGTGGTGTTGTCAGCTGTGTCGCGGCTGCCACAATGCCCTGAATCAATGCAAAACATTTACCTGCCATGTCCGTTTGCACGAGAGAGGAGCCAGAGCCACTTGGTGGCAGAGACAGTGAAGACGGTGGGTGAGACCCGCAGCTGTTTTCCTCAGGAGCCTGCCGTTAGGGGCAGGGACTCTGCAGTACCATTCACCGTAGTAACTTCCAGAGACACTCACGGAAGAGGACCCAGAACTGCTGCAGAAAGCGGCCAAACAACGGGATAGTGAGTTTGAAGTGAGGCATAGGATGTTTTGAGGAGGTTTAATGACAATGTGCAGACGTTTTAACCTAAACATTGACCTCATGCCTGGATCAGCCCTTGTGTGTCCCACATTGATCTGCTCCTCTCTGGAAGGCGCTCTTGGTCGCTTGTGCATTGGGGCTGTCATGAACGCAGCTGCTTTTCACTTAATCTTGGTTTGCAAGAGTTATTAGTGGATCTTGTGGGATGGATGTGTTTGGTTTTCTAAGAAAAAGCGACAGACTTCCAAAGTGGCCTGCTATTTTGCATTCCCACCAGTAGTGAATGAGAGTTCTTGATGTTTTCAGGTATGAAAAAGTCTACTTACAAAGAATTCAGGCAGTCGTGAGTTCGATCCCCGGTACTGATACAAAGGAAAAAGACAAAAAAAGAATTGAAACACTACAGAGGTCATTAAAAATCTCACCCACCCATGCTCTCTGGTCTCATCCCACAAAGGGAAGACAAAAATGGAGAGAATAATACTCATTCTTCACTTTCTAGATTTGTTATAGCTTCTTAGACAACATGAGGACCTCAGAGCTCTTAAAACACGAATTCTTCCACATTTTGTGTGTATTGTATTCTACTTTCTTACATTTAAGTTTTATACTTACATACACTAAAATTCATATTAGTGTCCGCTCTTAAGAGTTTTGACAAATGCACACTCAATTATCATCACAAATAAACACAAAATGGTCCCATCGTTCCCTATTTTTTTACACAGACCCTTTATTTTCAAACCGTCCTTGCTCCCTGCTCACCTCTTCACCCCCATGTCCTTCCCTTGTCTAGAATGTTGTGGAGATAGTCGGTTGGTCGTGCACCCCTGTGGTCCCAGTGCTTGGGAGGACCGCCGTGAGTGCGAGGCAGGCCTGGACTGCAGAGCAAGACCCTGTCTCAAAAACAAGCAAACAAGCAAACAAACAAACACCCTCAAAGTTAAAGAGATGGATTCCCACGGCACATGACTTTGTAAGTCTAGAGTTTTTCACTCAGTGTAGAGCATCTGATATCATTCTGAGCTGTTGTGTCCACTGATCATCTGTTCATCTCATTTTTTGAAGAGCCTTCTCTTTTCTGGATATATAATAGTTCATTTATCAACTCACTAATTGAAAGATACTTGGGTTATCAAGCATTTTTGGTAACCACAGGTACCACTGCTGGAGCATATGGATTTCTTTGTAAGAATGTCAGTTTTTATTTCATTTGATTATTTACCTAAAATGATTTTGTTGGATCATATAATAAGTGCATGTTTAACTTTGAAAGAATTTCTAAAGGATTTTTTGGAGTGAGTGAACTATTTTGCATTCTTACTAAGAAACCCGTAAGAGTTCCTACTGCTCTGAGTATTTGTTAGCACCTGGTGTGTTTTCATGCTGTGACAGGTATGGAGTGGCATAACCTTGTAGTTTTAAAATGGATTTTCAAAAGTGATAAATGATTATTTACTTCTGTATATCCTTTAGAGAAGTATTTGTTAAAATCCATTGCTCATTTCCAAATTATGTGTACTTTTTCTTATTACTGAGTTTTGAATACAAATTCTTTGTCCGCATATGATACACAGACATTTTTTCCTCAGTCTGTGGATTTAGTAGGGCTTTTCACAGAGTAAGTTTTAAATTTCTGTGAGGTCCAATATAATCAATAGTTTGTCTTCTGGATCATATTTCTCATCTCATACGTAACGTACAGTCAGGAAGATTTTCTCCTTTATTTTTTTACTAGTTTTATAGTTTAATGCTTACATGTCAGCCTATGATCCATTTTGAATTAATTTTTACCAAGGTGGAAAATGTACATTGGGGTTGATTTATTTTTTGAATGTGGACATCTGATTTTCCAGCACAACTGCCTGAAAGGGCCATCTTTCCTCCACCGAAACACTGTGGTATCATTCTTCAAATCAGTGTACCATCCATGTGTGGACCTGTGTGTGGATCTGTGTCTGCAGCACTCTCTGCTCCGCCCAGGGATGCTTGTGTCTTTTCACCGTGCCTGTGTGACACATCTTGACGCACACGGTATGAGACTTCTAGCTTTGTTTTCCTTTTTCAAACATTATTTTGGCCATTCAAATCTCTTTACTTTTACCTATCCATTTTGAAGTTGGCTTGTAGAAATCTCTAAGAGTATTGTTAGTGTTTTGTTTGGGCTTGGACTGAATTTACAGGTCAGCGTGGGAAGAATTGTCCTGGCATCGAGTCTCATAAAAAAGGTTTATCTCTTCATTCAATTTGGATTTCTTTAATTAATTATTGTAGCTTTCCATAAACAAAATACTGCACATATTTTAGATTTGTAAATGATCCTGTTTTTGAAACTTTGATTTCTAGTTAATCATTGCTGATTATGTGTATGCATGTATATATCTATAGCTGTCCACCTATCTATCTATCTTATCTATCTATCTATCTATCTATCTATCTATCTATCTATCTATATCTTGTGCTGTTGCTAACTTCGATATGCATATGTCACATTAGCCTTATATTCTCAGGATAAACCTCCGTTTGTCCTGAAATACTATCTTTTTAATACAGTCCTGTATACTATTTGCTAATATCTTGCCGAGGATTTTTGTGTATAGATTTATGAAGGATGCTTGTTCTATTTGCTTCCTTCCCATTTTAAAAATCTGGCTTGGTATTTGGATAATATTATTCTCATACAGTCAGTGGAAACATTTTCTCTCCTTCTGTGTTTCCCTGGAAGAGACTGTGTTGTTATTGCTTCTTCCAACATATTCTGCTAAAATTTACCATGGAAGCTGTCTGGGCACATAGTGTTTTGTTTTTGTCTTTTAGTAAGTTCCGAACTACAAATTTCAATAGAGGACTACTCAGTTTATGTTTTCTAAAAGAGTTTTGGTATTTTTCTTTTCTCAAGAATTTGGTCCATTTTACTTATGTCATTGAAAACATCAATGTAAACCTGTTCCTGTTATTTATTATGTAGGATGTGTCCTGCAGTTTCTCCTTTCATACCTGGTATTGATTCCCATGCGCTCTCTCTCCCTCCCCTCTTTCCTCTCATCTGTCTTTCTAGAGCTTTGCCAGTCTTATTGATTATTTCAAAAAAACAGTTCCTAACTTATCCTTGTTTTGCTATTTTTCATTGTGTTGGTACATGATCCTGTGTTTATTATTTTCTCCTTTCTTTCGTTGCGTTTAATACTCTTTCATAAAACAATTTTCAAGGCAGAAACTTTGGTTATGGTTTGATCCCGTAGGGAAGGAAGGACTCCTCACAGCTATGCTGAGGGCTAGCACCTCCCGCTCACGTGCAGCCCTAAGGACAGTGACCATTCAAGGACAGGGCATGTTTCCGTGGCTGTGCCGGTTCCTATAAAATCTCTCTCCCCAAACCTTAAAATATCTGTTATCTGCATGTTTTAACAATATCCATTAGTGTCTTTATTTCTTACGACATTACTGGTAAGTTGTAGGAACCAGGGCTCGCAAGCAACTTGCCTGTGTTTACCCAGCTGGGAAAGCTGGTTTGAACCTAGGATATTTGAACTGATGATATTTTTATTCACGTTAGTGCACTGATTTGTTCTACTCATGTTTATTTAGCACTCAGGCTGCACCAAGGCAGTTCTGAGTCCCCGGAAATATGCAGTACCCATGAGTGTTGCGAGTCCTGCCGGTGGGAGCTTTCAGTCTAGTGGGGTGACAGTTATGATGGTTAAACTTATCATCAGCTCAGTTAGATTGGGAGCTGCCTAGAGGGTTAGTACAGCGTGTGTCCAGGTGGTCCTGAGGTGCAGCCTCTGGGGTGCATACCTGGTCTCTCACTCCATCCTCTCCGGCTCTGTTCCCCTGCTCCACTGTTTTCCAGTTGCTATGCCTGAGTTAAAGATTTTTGCTATGCTGTACCCTTCTGCCATGATGTTTCTGCCATGGGGCCAGCCAACAATGAACAGAATCCCCTGAAATCAAGAGCCAAATTAAACCTCTCTTCTTTCAAGTTGTGGGTGTCAGGTATTGTGTATCAGTGGCAGAAAATCTGACCAATATACAATGCAAACACATAATCATAATAATTATTCAGTTGGTGTCCTCAAGTAAATGAGTTGCAATAATTATACAGTTCTTTGATTCCTAGGTTTGTTTTGATGTACTGGATTGCTCAAAAGGAAAAATTATGGAACAATCTTTGATTTCCATCATTAGGATCAGTGATGTGAATGATTATGCACTCTAGATTACTGAAAAGGAAGGTAATGTCAGCGTGAAAGAGAACCAAACTATGGGAATGTGTGAGGGCCTTCCTGTCCTGTCTCTGCTCTGCATGGGTTTCCCTCTCCCTCCTAGATTCCCCCTTTTCCCCTCCGGTCTTCTTGTAGTACCAGGGACTGAACCCGGGGCCTCATGCATGCTAAATAAGCAGTCTATCACTGGGCTACACCCTCATATCTTCGCATTTTATATCTGTACATATAAAACCATACTTTTTGTTATAAATGTATATGTATTTGCAGATTTTTATATATGATTACAAATCCATATTCACATATATGTATATTTTTCATCTTTATGATAGTACAAAATATATATTTATATTCATACGTAAATATTCACAGATATTGAATGTGTTTTTTATATGTGTAGAGATGTGAGTTTCCTGTGGAAAAATTACATTTCACTGTTTATAACCTAACAGTATTCTCCTACAGGGTCTTGTGGAATTTCTTATTTTATGGATGAACTTTAAGATATTGAACAAAGCTGTTGCTGAACCTCAATGTTTTGTTGCCATGTTTTGTTACTTTTATAAAAAACATTTCAGTGAATACCTTTGAGCTACCGAATGAAACCTTACTTACTCTGCATAAATTCATAAAAGCAGATTTTTGGTTCAAGGCGCATGCGGAATTTCAGTGTTCAGTTCATTCCACAGCAGTGCAGAGCGCGTGCGAGATATGGTTCCTCTGACTGTGACGTGTTTCAGCATTTTGGAATGTTCCTCAGCCTCTTGTATTTTGTTATCTGTTACTTACTGTTTTCTTTTGTCCATTTGCGTAGTGTGTTTGTCATTTTTCCTGACTATAATTTCCTAGTTCTATTTAAATATTTCATTCATTCTGGTGTATGCCTCCAGCCATCCCACGGAGACTCTATCCTTGTATTGGGTTGATAGATTGTGTTTAGCTTACAGTAATAACTTTTAAAAAATTCTTTCTAGGTCAACCTATTTTTCAGATGTTATCAGCTGATGTGGCTCCAGAAAATAGTCCAAATTCCAAAGTCCTTTATTTCTTTGTTTCTCAAATGCCATTAGTCAAAGAAAATGGCTTCTGGACTGATCACATCTGTGGAGAAATCTGACTCTTCGGATGCTTAGATTATGAGGTTTTTTAGGTTTTATTATTTGAAGAAACAAAGTAAACATGTTGGCTGCTTTGAGTTGCCTACTTGGAGTCCGTGCAGTGGGGCGCCTTCCACGGGGAACCTTGCTTTGAAACTGCAGTAGTCCCCATCAATATTTCCCTTTCCTGAGTTCCTCATGAATATTTTCTTATACTCCGCTAGCAGACTGACCTCAGCTTATGTTACTCTGCAGGGCGAGGGGCTGTGAAGGGCCACCCTGGTCACTCACAGTGACAGTTCACACCGATGTCCCAGAAGCCCACAAGGCACATGCTCACCTTTGCCCAGACCAGGGGAGGCCACTGGGCTGCACTGACGCTGAGTGCCCACACTGTCTCTGAGCCCTAAGGATAGTTTTGCTGGGAGAATGATGAGATATATGCGGTTCTCCGAAGTCAGTTGTGACACAAAAAGGCCAAGCCACAGTGACAGAATTTCATTAGATAACGTTTTGCCAGAAAATATGCTAAGAAAATTTACTTCATTATTTATTTTTAATTTTTGAAACTGTCACACTGTTTTTATTTTATAGATAAGGGGACTGAGGTCTGGGAGACATAAGGATTCTTTGGAAGTTGAGGCCAGTGTTTCTTGATCTTGTGTTGCTAACCTTTTGGGATGGACAGTGCTTGGTTGTGGGGAGCTGTCCAATATATCATAGGACATTTGATAGCATCCCTGGCCTCCGGGAGCAGCCCCTAGTTTTGGCAGGGCAGGTGCAGAATCACCTGTGACTGACAAGTTTAGACATGTCACCCGAGTCCCAGAGGACAAATGAGCAGGTAAATTCTGGCTTTGTTTCCTTGGCTCTGCTGGTTTACATATAGGAGTTCCAAGCCAGGGATTTAGCTCAGTGGTTTAGGTACCTGCCTGGCAAGCACAAGGTCATGAGTTCGATCCCTGGTAACAAAAAAAAAAAAAAAGGTATATATTGGAGTTCCACACAAGATTTCATGTAACATAGGATTCTTAGGCTTTAAGAAAGCATTAAAAATCACTATGCAAATAGTTTTGAAATAGTGTACAACTTGAGATATGCAAGATTGCTAAAATAAGAGGTAAAGCCTGAGTCCCTTTAGATACAGTTTCCAATTTTAAAAATTTTATTATTCCATATTTTTAAAAAATGTATGTTCACTATCTCCCCCTTCTCTTGGCCTTTCTTGATGAGGCCCTTCTTGATTCTCTAATTAAAATTCCCCTACCTCCTTCCTTGGCACCTTCTAGCCCTTTTGTTCTTCTTTTTCTAATTAAATAGATTTCTATTCAACTAATTTATTTGTTTTATTTATTTTCTATCATCAGCTCCCTAAAGATGATATATAAAATGTATATTTTCATAAGTACCTAAAAGAGAAATTATGGTACATGGTAGCTATTGCTGCATAAATGGTGCAAACAATTATTTTTAAAAGATATAATTTAAAAATTTTAATTAAATAAACCAAGATGAAATGTTTTCTAATGAAAGTACCTCAACCCAGAAGTATGAAATAACTGCAAAATAATCTTATAATTAACCCTTGTCTCAAAATCTTTTCTGAGCTTGGTTTAAAAGGAAACCAGGGAAAAAATGTACTGCTGTTTTGATGTATTTGTCAGGAGACATTGTTACCAAATATTGAATAATTCTATGTCGGATCTATTGTAAAGATCCACATGTGCTTAACAAATGATCACTTTGATCTAAATAATGACAAGTGTCCTATTTTTGGATAAGAACTAAGAAGATTTTTAGGGCATGTAAACTAGGATGTGTATTATTATATTTTAAAAAAAATTCTTAGTAAAATAGGCTGTTGAGTTGGGCTTAAGGTACTTTTGGAATTACTTGCTTATAGGTAGCAAATCACAGGTGGGAGAGAAGAGTTGTTCTTTATTGATGACCTTTCTTTTGTAATAGGCAGTTTCCAATATCTTGAGAGGAAATTCAATAGCAAAAAAAAAAACCCAAAAAAACCCCCCCAAAAAAACGCCCAGGGAGTTGTGATAAGGGTTTACATTTCCTGCCTGCCCCTTTACCTCCTCCCTCTCTGCCTTCTTTTCCAGATGTGTTCCTTTGTCTCCATTATATGGAAATGCTGGTTGATTCTTCCATCTGAATTTCTGAAGTTCTTCAGAGTGTGTTGCATCTCCTAGTTCAAGACTATGATTCCCATTTACATCTGGTTGGAGGTAAACTTCAACAGTTGTCTTGGTTAATTGTCTCTCATTGCTGGGACAAAATGCCTGATACCTAAAATTAAGGAAGGAAAGATTTGTTTTGCTCACAGTTTGTGGAGGTTTCAGTTCATAATCAGCAACAACAAGGCAGGTTGGCACGGCACAGGGGCAACATTTCAAGGTGGAAGAAGACAGCAAAAGCCACAAGAGCAAAAAGAGGGAGTGAAGGACAAACTCTTTCCCACCCTCACACTGTATGCAGGTTAGCTGCCCTAGGGTGGATCCTGTACACGCCAGGAAAGAGCACTGCTGAGTCACTTAAACTTCTTGACTTCTCAAGTTGACACAATGTATCAACCACCACATGTGGCTAGTGGAAAAGCTGGCCCTGGAGAAAAGTCATAGCATCACATTTTATTGTAAAGGAACCAGAACCTTTACACAGACTCACACAGCGGGAGAGAGGTGTCACTGTTCTAAGGGGACAGCCTGGCTCAATGCCTGCAATCTTCACTGTTCTCAGGCAGACACCAAAGGCTGGGTCTCCAGCACGGCACAGGTGAACCACCAGGGGAGATGCACACCAGAGCCAGTGGGGCTGCTTGGGCCTGAGATCCTGCCTGCAGTAGGTGTTGCCTGTGGCACACGGATCACCCTGCATGCTAAGGCTCCACCAACTCGGAGCTCCACATGTCTGCCATTAAATTTTCCAAGTATGCCCAATCTTTTTAAGTCACCAGCTGCTTTGTACACTGGATAACTATGATCATTAATATCTATATTTCCCTCAGTTTCTCTGATTTTTTTGCAGCTTGGTTGTCACATTAATGTTTCATTAAGTTATGATTTTGTTGCATTTTTCATTACCCTCTGATGGATGGTGGCTCTTTTCAACCAGGAGAAGAGGAGGGAGTCAAAAAAGAACTCCATAAGTGATTTGAAAATGAGCTGAAGACTGTCTTTTGATCATTATCAAAGACAATGTAAATAATAAATGAAGTGCAAAAGCCACAGCTCTGGGGTTCAAGTGAGGATGGCTTAATGCTGGGCTTTCCTTCAACCAGAAGAGCAGCAGGTGCTAATGAAACCCTCTCTCTGCTTGGCAGGCTTTGGATTCTTACACTCACAGGGCTCATAGCCTTGTCACTGCTGTCAAGAATAAGAGGAGACTTCCTCCTTCAAAGGGCTCTCACTCCAGCAGCCCAGGAGGGCAGCATCCGCTGCTATTGTGAGGGTTAGGGGGTGAACAGCAACGCTGCACCTGCCTTTCACCCCAAGGTTTCATCTCAGTAGAGACCGTGATCCAGGCTTGGGGTCCAGCCTGGAACTTTCAGTACTATGGATCCAGACAGGATTCCAAGTCTTTAAAGGTGAAGGCAGAATGGGAAGGGTGGCATGTCCTGTGGCGCTAGCCCACCCCAGAAGGGCTCTTATTGGCAAATAAGCCCCTTTGATGTGTTCCTCAGGTCAGCTCCTTCTTGCCATGGAAACAGGAGAAGCCCTGTGGCAAAGGCCATCATTGTTACATTTCCTGTTGCTAAGCCAAAGTACTGCTGTACAGTTTACAGGAGGAAATGTTCACTGCCTCAGCAGCCCCAGTCCTTGCACGGTGGGCCTGATCCAAGGCAGAGGCAGCTGCTCATGGCCCGGCGCTCAGGAAACAGAGAGGGAGACAAGAGGAGCCAGGGACGGCCTGGCTTCAGACCATGCCCCCAGAGACAGGCCCCTTGACTGGCCCTGCCCCTGAAAGGAAGTCAGCTGTGCACCCACACATTCCAGCCGCCTGCTGCAGGCCCTGCAGATGGCCTGGTGGCTCCCAGACCCAGCCGCAGCCCTAGCTTAACCATCTTCCTCCCTCTGCAGCGTCCTCTCCCGCACCTGGAGAATTTGCCCGCTCGTTTCCCTTTTCACCTACTGCAGGTTTCTCACACAACCTTTTTCATACAAAAATCATTTGCTCTTTTGCTCCTATCGCCTATTTACCAGAGATTGTACCCTGACTGCATTCCTGTTTTGAACTTCAGAAGTGGTTGTTGATTTTTAAATTTGGTAAGATTTATAGTTTTAATCAGTTTGCAGTAGGCAGATTAAGAGCCCAGAGTCACCTATGTGGTGGTGCATCCACCCCTGTTGGGAGCCGCGTCTGTGATAGCTCGCCTTGCGCGGCGGACGTGCGGCCTGTGGTAAAGAGCAAAGCCTGAGGTAGATTACCCCTCCCATCGAGCACGTTAGTTTCCTGCTTACCGCGTAAGCAACCCGCTCAACAATATAGTCTGCCTGGCAACTGATGATGTTAGCCAATCAGCTTGCCTTGCTTACTTTAACATGATTGGACACTGTACCCGTATATATACCAGTGCCACCCCTGGGCGGAAGAAGAAGCCAGGTAGAAGCCCGGAAGTAGAAGCCCAGAAGGAGCCGCGGAGAGCGGACCGGTAGAGGCTTCGGAGCGAAGCCCGGAAGGAGCCGCGGGGAGCGGACCAGAGGAGGCTTCGGCTGGGAGCGATCCCAGGGCAGGCTGTACGGAGAAAGGAAAATAAAAAGAAAAGGTTGTCCACTACCAGACTTTGTCGTGTGTCCTTCCTGCCGGCCGGGAGCGGACATCGACATTTGGAGGCCCGCCCGGGGACTGATCACCCCCGAGACGTGGAAGTGGACAACGCTCCAGTACAGAGCTGCGAGACAGGTGAGTTGGGGATAAGCCTGGGCTCTGGGTGGCGCGCACCTACAGGGCTTTTAGACTCCCCTCAGGCTCACGCATAAGTGGCGGATTCCTTGGGCCTCACGCGGTGAGTAACATATTAAAAGATGGGAAACATGTTAGGTAG